AACTAAACACAGAAAGCTTCACAAAGGCAGAACTTATGCAGACCTGATCAGACCTGTATAAAAAGTTTACATCACTGCACTGGTGTACCTAATATGTTTTTCAAAGCTCTTTACACTCTCGCGTTTGCTTCTTATGCTTATGTGTTATAATCAGAGGTGGGTAGTCACTAATTACATTTACTCATTTAAATATACCTGAGTACTTTGGAAAAAAATTATTTTAGGAGTAGCTTTACTGCACTGTGCTTTTTAATTTTACTTGAGTAATATTATTATGAAGCATTGCTACTCTTACTTGAGAAAAATTTCTCGCTACTCTACTCAGTGTAACTTCACTGCATGAATAATAAACACATTTTAATCAAAAATGCATGAGACACTGACACAAACCTACAGTTTATGTCAAGTTGTTGTTGTTTTTTGATTTTCAGTCTTTCAAACACCAACATTTGCACTAAACTTTATATTTGTGTCTGTTTGATTATCTCATTTTTAAACATTAAATCAGATGTTATGATCAGTTACACAGTACTAAAGTAGCATTTCTTTTAAACTAAATTATTTTTTACTGTTACTTGAGTCATTTCTTGAACGGCTTTTACTTGAGTAAAACTATGTTGAGGTAGTGCTACTATTACTTGAGTACAATGTTTTGGCTACCCTACCCACCTCTCGTTATAGTTATACTATTTTCGAGCACAGAGTCGATCGTGATGGGGTAGCAACAGGGCCCTTGACCTAAATATGCTCTGATGGAGGTTTTCTAATTAAATAGGCCCTACACGCTCAAATTCCCTGTCTGCTAGTAGACTATAATATATGTCAGGTTCATCAGGTCCACGAAGAAATGGCACAGTAACTCGTGATTTATTTTTATATTTTCAGCTGTCAAATAAACATGCTGCAGTGCAAAAAGTTTTGACAGAAACCGCAAAACTGCGTAAAAGTCAGCTAGAGAACATCAGATGAAGGATATTTGCATAAAGTTGTACACGGCCTATGAGAAATCAGCCACTGACAATCCTCCACTGACACTCCTGCTTGGCAGGAGGTTCTCGCACATTTTTCAGTGTCGTCTTAAAAAGCTCCACTGGAGAACATGAACAGGAAACGGAGCTGAGCCGGGCTCCTCCTCCTCCTCCCAGCAGCTGTCAGGCTCTGATTGCAGCTAACCGCTTGTAGCCTGTAACATACTGGACAAGTCATTCCCTAATATAGTAGTGGACATTAACATTACACTTGGTAGTAAAGTTGGCATTGGCCGTACGGGGAGTGTGGGGGAGCCCGAAGCTTATTACGATCGAGGATGAAGCAGACACGGGCGTCAGGCTGCGGTTACATCGCAGCGGGATCTGATCAGTCACAACAAACAGCCATAAAACGCAAAGCATCAGCTTCTCCAGCAGCACCACAGGAATCAGTGTAGGGCCATGACAGCAATCACAGCCCGGTGATGGCACACACTAATAACCTGGAAGATGTGTCGCACGCACGCGCCCAAATCTTAACATTGTCGTTTTGTTATTATTATTATTTTTTATTTTTTATTCTAGCAGCAGCTCTAAAACACCCGCCCGGCTGTAGCTGTGAAGCTGCTGCTGTTCCAAATAAGTCTGCCAACTATTTAAGAGAAAAACCCAGAGACTGTCGCCAGCTGCCGTTATGTAGGGTAAAGGTGAAAGCGCCAGCACACCAACAGGCATCGATTCTTGTTTACGTCTTTAAGGGCTGCCCCTCGCCGTCCTACGCTGTCTGTCTGTTAAAGGAGAACAATTCAAAGTGCTGAACGAACGGATCCGAGGAGCGTGGAAATCGACGCCTCTTACCCGCTCTGTCCTGGTTCTGCGAGAGCTTGGACCTGCTGGAGCAGCCTCTCATCATGGGCGTCCGTCTGATGGAGCGCAGTGCCTGGCGGTGTGTACGTGCGTCCAACAGCAGCCAGCGCCACTGATGCTCACTGTACACACCCCCGATGTGCGCGCGCGCATGTGTACGTATGCGGGAACCTGGAGTCAGGAGGACGGCTTTCGACAAAATGGGTATAATGAAAGAGCAGCCTACCTGCCTTATGACCCTCCTACACCCCACCCACGTTTAGACTGTCCGGAACGTCTTTACCAGCCCAACCCTTACAGGCAGAGCAAAAGAAGAAGGACTGGATTGGCAGCCAACTTTGACAGGGATGCGGGGATGTGATATTTCATTCAAAAACAAACAAAAAAAACCCCAAAAATACCTGCACAGCATGAACTCAAACCTATATATATCATGAACCGGTTTGGAAAATATCCATAAACGCGCAGTACGTTGGTTTGGTTTGCAGGTCTTCAGTGGGATTATGGTTTAAAGCCAGTCTTGCGACCAGGCGATGACCTTTTTTTTTATTAAGTTCCACAGTCATATATCTGAGGGGAAGCCGACTTTCCCAGGTCTGACTTGTGTTGGACTTGCACAGGCCCATGCACTCAGAAATTACTGTACTCTTAAGTCAGATTCTCTAAGCTACAGTTAACTATAATATTACCATGGGCTTGTTGTTACTATAACGTATGGGTAAAACCAAAGTGTATGGCTTAATTTCACTTACAGTAAAATTGATTTTCTAATTAAAAAAAATACTATCAGTAAAACTGATTCTCAATCCAGCTCAGGGGGTACAGCGTCTGCACCTCTGGGACCCGTCCACAACACTGCAGCTTATTGGGGCTTCACCTCATCTGCTTTCACGTGACACTTATGGCTTATAAAATGCGCAGTTCAAGAAAGAATCATTCAATTACACAGGCCTCCATAGTTCATACCATAACAATAAAAACTCAAAAATCATCCAGTGTATGCTGAATGTGCTCTAAAATTTCTTTATCCTACTTAGCCATATAGAATATTCTGCTCAAATAATACTAAAAAAAAAAAACTGAACCATGTCACTTATTTACTGCTGAATGTGAAAACCAAATCCTATTTTTAAAAAAGTTTAAAAGCTTTCCAGGAGCTGTCATACTTGCAGAACTTGTTCTCTGTAGCTCAGGAAGACTGCTCCTCCTTGCCTTGACGTAACTCAGCCAATACTGGTGGGGCCTGTTGTTTACAGCTATGCTGCGTTTAATTGGACAATACACACAGGAAGACTCCTGGTATAAAATAGTTTTTGGAGAGTTATTGCACCTGTGACGGAAAGAATGGAAGAAAGACTACAAAATATGATGTGTGCAGTATGATCAGTGCAAGATGAATCACACCAAACGGAGACCTGTGATCTTGAAGAGATTCTCTGTGGTTCTAATGGTACTAACATTTATTTTGTGCTTCTTTTCATATTTTTCTGTGACAAAACCCAACTTAATTTATTTAAAGTTCTAAGACAACAATTGTGAAAAAAAATGAAGTCAAGGCGCATCTAAGTATCAGTTATAGCTGCAGTAAAGAATTCTCCGATCTTCCATACAATGCTATGAAACGAAGCACACATGCACTGAGCTACCAAGCACTGTGACCCTCTGGAGATAATATAAGCATCATGTGACATGCCTGTGAGGACTTGAGGCTATTTTGGTGGCAATGATGATACCCTTAACTATAATAGTGATGGTGAGACTAATTGTCAAGCAGGAGCCTGCAAATGCAGATCTGTGAATAAAGAATAAGACAGCCTCGCATACGAACGCACAGAAAAGATAAGATAGGACGACACCGGGGAAACGACGAGGCATGGGCAGAAAAACACGTGGAAATGGAAACGACCAGGACTCGGGAGGCTTCACGTACAACACAGACTATTCATGACGGGGTGGAGTAGAAACAGTGGAAAGTCACGTAACTCTCCACCGACCTTCAGCACATTCCTCCCTAAAGGCTAAAGAGATCAAACCACTCACCCCACTCACCCTATGCTCCTGCTGTTAGCCTCGCACCCAAAACCTCTCACAGTACACCAGGATAACCACATTTGAAAAAACAGTGTTTGATAACAGCAACCAAATGACTCAATCAAAGACGTAATTTGTGATCCCCCACTGAGGAAACAGACTCCTAACTTAAGCAGGCATGCTTTTATTATTTTTATTGTCATCCTTTTGGTTTGCAACCCTTTGCTTTTGTGGAATTACGCAAAAAAAGGGAAGTGTTTAAGACACTGTCATGTCAACATCATGTTAGTAATTGAGACATAGTGATACATCATGACTGGACTTGTCTCTGTATTATGGAGCGATTAGCACAAAAACATTTCTTCCCCTAATCATGTCACGAGGAAAAAAACATCTTTTGGAATATGTTGTGATATTTCACTCGGGGAAAGCTGAGACTTTATTGTTTTATTCTCAGAACTTCTAAACTTCTTACGTTCACAGAGGCCCGAAGAAGAGCTGTGCAGTCCCGCTGACAGTATGGCAACATCCCAAAGGCAGAAAAGCCAAGTAGCTTTTTATGATCAGCGTCCCCTTAACACTCTCAGCATCACATGATCAAAGTGGGCTAAAGGTTGCAATCATAAACATGAAAATGTTGACCTTTTGCAGTTGAATGACATGTCAGATGGCTGCGTCCCACAGAACTACTTCGCTGCTCCTATTAATAGCAGCCTGACAAAGCCTGAAATACTCGATACCAAAAAAAAAAAGAAAAAATGTTGCCACATCCACAGGAAACGTGTCTGTCACACGAAAACTCTTATTTTAAGTTTAGGAGCGTGTTTAGAACCACCACGTGGAAAATCTTAGCATCTATGTGAAGTGGATTCACCCAACATAAGAGGTTTCCTTTCTCCCTGCTAAGGTTGTATTTTAAAGAGAAACTGTAGTCACAATTTACCTGAAGCATTTTATCACCACAGTGACACATAAGAAATTTCTCAGGAAAACTGACACAACTTGCCAATGCAACACAATCAGCCGTTAGCCCACTGCAGCTACAGGACAGTCTGAGTGCTGCTCTGTTAACAGGACACCAGACTGATCTGCAGCAGTGACTCTGTACAAAAAAAGTTTCTCAGATGGAAGCGATTGTGGAGGCTACATTTTATTAACATTTTAGGATTTTGAATCCTAAAAGGAAGGCAGCAAACGAAGGACGATATTAAGACAAAAGACAATAATGAGCCTTTTAGTTTCACAGTCTGTCCACAGTTAGTTTCTTTGAGTGTGATCTGCACACAACTGCATAGTTACACCTTAGACAGGTAAATCCAGCATTCAAATACACAACATATACCACTACAGATATCTCTAGACACAGGTACTCTTAGAAACAGCCCAGCCCCCTCCCAAAAAAGAAAAGACATTATTACACAAAATAATTAAAAACAGACAGGCCTGCGGTGACAACAGACAGGTGATATCACGTCTCCACGTCCCCGAAATATCCAGGTTTAACTCTGGCGTTCCTAATGTCTCTTATTTTAGAGCGCACTTGCTTGAAGTTGAGTCTCTGAGAAGTCTAAAGCACCTCTTGAACCTTCCACCAAAGCTCATCCTTGCCTCACTGACTCTGGCATACCGTGGACCCACTCTTGCCCCCCGCAGCGGCCTTCTTGCGCCTCTTGTTGAGCAGAGGGTTGCTGGAGGTGTCGAGATCTTTGATCTTCACCTGGTCATAGTCCACACGCATGGTCGCTAAAGCGCTGGTCATCTCTTCCTGCGAGAGAAGAGGCAGATGTTGGAGGATTTAGCTGGCGCTTATGGATGTGGAAACCGTTTGCTTTTTACCAGTGGCACATGTATGTTTCCAAAGAGCAGCCAGTTAGCTTAGCATAACGTCAAGACACAAAATGGAGAAAACAAGCAAGCACGCTAAAGCTAATGAATTAACGCAATGTGTCTGCTTTTTATTTTCCAAACAAAAAGTATAAAAAGGAGAAGCTGAGGTTTTAGTGAGGACTGTTTCTCAGCAGGGAACAGTTGCAGGTGTTGGTCAAGAAACTGTGAGGACATAAAACCCAAAGAGCCTGCAACTTTTTTTTGTTTACACATCAGTATAGGTCTGAATTTAAAAAAATAGAGACGATATGTTAACCAGAGAAGCTTTAAAAGTGCTGATAAGTGGAATTTATTGCTGTAGGATGGTGTCAGGTTAGCTGTTTCCAGGCTTCACACCACCCCAAAATAATTAGAGCTGACATCTATCCTCTCATTAGTCATTTTTCACACCATCAACTCTTAGAAAGGAAACAAAGGAGGACGTTTCCTATAATGTCAAAATCTTTGCTGCAAGGGTTTCCACGCAGTTCGCTGCTGTTCAAGATCCGTGCAGCAGGAAAAAACTAAGCAAAGGTAGAAAGAAAAAAGGAAACAGGCTGGAAATATTTTTATGATTTAAAAAAAGGACTGAAGTCAAAATGAGTCAGAACAGACCTCAGAGAAAACTAAACCTTTTTCATTTACGGTGAATAAAGCTCAATATAAAGACTGTACCCTCCTGACTCTTTGCTTTTTGAGAAGTGGCCTTTTATGCAACGCTGTACCCAGTACCCACTGCAGAAATGAGCAGTGGTGTATTGTGAGCGTATCATTTTGCTGAATGGTCTTTTCACACCTTATCATGGCAAACCTGTTCATTCAGCTGTTGTGAAGGAATGTGCCATTCCACATGTTATTTACAGGGACTGAAAATAAGTGATTGCCTAAGTGAGACATTTTGTACATTTCTGCATGGTTGAATGAACTTGATATGAGGAAGCGGTGTTTTCTTTTGTTTAGTAGTTTAAATCAGGAAAAAATGCAGGAATGGCAAAAGGTAAGCTAAGCTTAGGTGTGTTTGGGTTAAATATTAAACTGTAACTCATACAGTTGTACAGACTGCGAACACTTCTTCACCCTGCTGGTTGTCAGGAGATAATCAGGATGTAAAGACATGAGGATGGCAGTTTTCCTCACATTTTGATCATTAGAATATTTAAAGGGCCACTTTGCTGTTTTCACACATGAAAATCTGTTTAGAGGTCGTTAGGGTTTTACTCCAACAGCTGACATTGTTGTATATGTCCTCTGTGGTTCTGAGCTTTTTAATGATGTGATTGTAAGCGGCCTTGATTACATCATATGTATGCCTTTAGGTGCATTTCAGAGCGGACATGGAGGCTCGAGGTTTCAAGAGAAACCAGAGTAAACTGGGACATTCTCATGCATTCTGGAAAGTTACCAGTTCAATATTTTTGGAGTTTGCCCCCATACTGGTCTATAAACCACTGCAACATTAACTGAAACCCTACCGCAGGCTGAACATTTCAGCAGCCTATCATTAACAAGCTGTAATGTCAAGATGTGACCAGAGGGGGTCGATGTTGTCGTGCTACTGACCTTCACGTCCTCCCACATCTCTCTGTCTTCTGTCAGGACCCGTGTGGTGTGCAGGGGAGTGGAAGGAACCATCATGGACTGCTGCAGAGTCAAAACACAAACACAGATGAGGACGTGAGCAAACAGATGCACAGACGAGCAGGAAGCAGTAGATGAGGCGTGTACGGGTGCTTACATTGATCCAGGGGTGGTTCATAAACTGGGTGATGGTCATTCTCTCGTTAGGGTCTGTCTTCAGTAGTTGGTGGATCAAATCTTTTGCTGGGAGACACAAGGCAATGCAAAGTTTACAACTTTTCACATGATGTTTGCCTTGGAGATAAAATGTCCTATTTATAGTGGATTTTGATGTGTTGAATTCAAATGTCACTATTAAAACAGCTGCTTGTCTCATTGTTTTATATATTGGTTGATAAATTGAAAATATATGCTGTGATTTGCTGAAACATGGGCAAATGTACAGGGAAATACAGGATATAAGGCAAAAACAGAGTTTTTACAGTTTTAACAACCATCGAAATTAATATTTTGCATGGCCCCCTTTATTCTTTAACAAAGGCTGAACTCTTAGGCATGCTTTCTTGTAATTTCTTCAACTAGTCTCGAGGTTCAGGCTCTGGGGAGAACAGACTGATAGCGTTTTATGTCTTTCTATTATCTATTATCAGTGCATTTGGGATCCCTGTCATGCTTTACAGAGAAGCTGTTGCCAGCCAGGTGCTTTCCAGATGGTATTTCAAAACATTTTATTTAAAAATCTGACTTTTTTGACATCAATTTTGAAAATATACCCAGTACCACTGTCTGAAATTAGCTCTGTGGAAGCGGAATATAAAGAAATCACATGTGGCTCAAGACTTTTGTACAGTACTGTATATAAATAAGACTTGATATGAAATGAAAAAAAAAGGTTTTCCCCCCAGTTGTTGATGTTTCCACAACCAAACTTATTGAATTAACAATATATTTCACTGGTGCATTTTCTGTGAGTCAAAGTACTTTCAACAGCACACTGTGAAGGAAAAGGAAAATATTACTCAGGGATATTATGCTAAAAAAAACCCCTTGTAACTTTAATTTGCATCATTACAAATTTCCTGCATCTAGGAAGGTTAAATCAAAGGTCAGAGCAGAGTTTAAATATAATACCAAGAAGAAGAAGGAGTCACTGGAGCAAACGGAGCCACATATTTAACACTGGATGCATTTTAATTAGACAGTAACAATGGATAGAATATTGAACATTAGAACAAGATTTATTGGGGAAAAAAATCCCAAACTACCTGGCTATATCTGAAAAAGTAATCCCTGCCTAAACCTAATAACTGGTTGTGTCACCCTTGGCAGGAAGAATTGCATCAAGTGTTTGTGTGGGATTTTGGCCCACTCATCTTTGGTGAATTATTTTAAATCAGTCACATTGGAGGGTTTTCGACTACGAACCGCCTGTTTAAGGTCAAAGCATCTCAATCACATTTCAGTCCACTTCGACTTGGCCACTTCAAAACCTTCATTTTGGTTTTTTGAGCCATTCACAGGTGGACTTGCTGGTGTGTTTCAGATCACTGTCCTGCTGTGCACCTGAGCTTCAGGGCATAAACTGATGGCCACAGTTCAGGATTTTGTGGTAGAGCAGAATTCACAGTTCCATCAGTTACAGCAAGTCGCCCACATCACCTTTTGTCTCGTCAGTCCAGAGAGTCAAAGCCTTGGGTATAATCAAGATGGTTTTTGGCAAATGTGAGACGAGCCCTTGTGAGTTTTTTTTTTTTTGGGTCAGCAGTGGTTTTCTCCTTGGACCTCCCCCATAGATGCCTCGTGAACTCTGACCTTAACTGAGGCACGTGAGGCCTGCAGTTCTTTAGATGTTGTTCTGGGTTCTTTTGTGACCTCCTCGATGAGTTGTTGATGTACTCTTGGAGAACTTTCAGGTAGGCCAGCCACTCCTGGGAAGGTTCACCACTGTTCCAAGTTTTCTAAATTTGTGGATAATGGCCCTCATCGTGGTTCATTGGAGTCCCAAAGCCTTAAAAACGACAGCAAAATCTCCAGTGTTAAATTGACGCTAGAGAGTGTCTATATGGGTCCACCAATCTGAGTGTTAAATATAACACTGTTGAGTGTTAAATGAACACTCTTTTGGAAAATTTCTAACATTTTGAGTTATTTTCCAGTGTTAGAAAATCAGCACTGCTCAGTGTTGGTCATTGTTAAACTTCAAAACTGACTAGGTTACTGTCAAAAGTGTTCATTTAACACTCAACAGTGTTATATTTAACACTCAGGTTGGTGGACCCATATAGACACTCTCTAGTGTCAATTTAACACTGGAGATTTTGCTGTGTAACCTTTCTAAGCCTGATAGTTGTCAGTGACTTTTTAAATTAGGTCATGGCATGAAATGTTGCTTTTTGAGATCTTTTAGCTTGTTTCACTTTGTCAGGCAGTTTCTCTTTTAGCGACTTCTTGATTCGACAGGTCTGGCAGCAATCGGGCCTGGGTGTGACGGGTGAAATTAAACTCAGCTTTCTAAAGAAATGTGGTTCATCATTTATCATTCACTGTTAATTCAAGATTTAACAAGGGAGGGAATCATTTTTTCACACACAGCCAGGTTGGTTTGGATAGTATTTTTTCCCTTAATAAAAATAATCATCATTTAAAAACTGCATTTTTATTTACGTGGGTTATCTTTCTCTAATATTACATTTTTTATTATCTGAAACATTTAATTGTGAAAATATACACATATACACAAATATACATAAAACTAAGAAACCAAGAAGGGGCCGAATACTTTTTAACCACACTGTAAGTAAAGTTTGAAGAGCCGGCAACAGCAAGATGCAAACTGGGGCAAGATTATATCTTGCTGTATATGATTCTCGAAAATGTTTCTGTATGATAATATCTTAACTTGACATACATTGACATTCAGTAAATTTGCAGAATTGGCCTGAGTGCAGCCCCTGCTGTTTAAGGTTTCCTGTTTCTGACAAGAGAGACCGGTAGCAGATAAGCAGGCCATACACGCATGAATGCAGATAAACACTGCGGTGTCACACATGATTGTAAACATTTGTAAAACCTGCAAATGTTTACAATAAAAAGACAAATATATTAAAAATGGGTTTTTTTGTAATTCTCTCACAAAAGCTCAGACTTTTAGCCTACAGGTGTTTCTATTCATATGGATTAAACAGAGGAAAGCTACAGACTTTTTTTTGCTGCCATACAAAATTAAAAGTTGTAGAAAATTTGTACATTTTTGAAGAATGAAACATGTTTATGAATTTTGCATTTCTTAAACAGCACAGTGGCTTCAATTTGACACGTCTAAGGAATTTACAGTAATTTTAGAAAATTTTAGTTTTGTTTTTTATAAACGACCCTCCGTTTGAGATCTGATATTTTTCAATGGCCACGTCGGTCAGCTGATCTCAACCTCAACAAGCAGCAACTGAAGGAGGCTGCAGTACAGGCCTGGCAGAGCATCTTAAGATAGGAAGCACAACATTTGGTCTGTGGTTTCTAGACCTCAAAAAGTATCTGACAGCAGAGGTTTTTTATCCAAGTCTAAAAAAAAAATCCTTTTATTTAAAATGATGCCACTTTGTCCAGTTGAACCTCTGAAAATGGCAGACTAAGCAGAAAAAATGGCTTTAATTTTCTAAATAGTTTATACAAAATTTTATATATTATATAATTTTTATCAAACCCCTTGTCAAAGATGTAAATCTGCACTTAAATCATCTGTTTGATTTAAAATCCACTGTGCTGGTGTAAAGAGGCAACCCTACAAAAACTGTGTCCTTGTCCAAAGACAAATAGACCTGACGGTAACTATGTGTGCTCGTTGCCTATATGGCTGCAAGCTAATATACTGTTTGACAGTGTTTTAGTTTGAGTTCCTCACCTTCCTGTGACACCTCCGACCACTCTGGATTAGGAAATTCATACTGGCCCATCCTGATCCTCCTCTTCATCCCAGGAGAAATGGCTTGGCCTGTATTCGAGTAAAACGGAGGGAAGCCGCACAATCTGCAGAGACAAACAAGCCGTAATGATGACAACCATTTAAAAACGTAATAAAATTAAGCAGCGCTTCTTGTAACAATACCCAAATACATGTGTCGTACAATAACATCTGTGGTGAAATCAGCACTGGCCTCCACACAAAGACAGTACTCACAGGATGTACATGATGACGCCCAGAGACCACATGTCACATGACTTGTCGTACTTCTCTGGACCCAGAACCTCGGGAGCTTATCAACAGGAAGACACACGTACAAACAATATAACAGTGGAGATTAGGCCACAGGCAAAAAGTGACTCAGCAGCTTATTACTGTCATTTTGAAACATCTGGCTCATTTGTTAATAAGGCCCAAACCCATCACGGGACAAAGTAAGACATCTTACCCACATAGTACGGAGTATAACAAGGAGTCTGCAAAGGATTGTGCAGCGTGGTCTCCTTTGCAAAGCCAAAGTCTGTCAGTTTGAGGACCGCATTTCTCTCTTTACTTGTGTACAGCAGGTTCTCTGGCTGGAGGTGGAAGCAGCAGAGGAAAACAAGTGAACCAAGCTTTCACCAAACTACCCAGACATGACATCACATGCTTCACGATTTGGGCACTGAACTTCATCTCTGCGTACCTTGATGTCTCTGTGCGCGATATCAATGTTGTGGAGAAAATCGATGGCCGTGCCGATGTCCCTCATAATCTCTGATGCCTCTGGGAGGAAAAACAGGTAAGCAGACTCTCTCAAACCAGAAGCAATTCCAGTGTTAAAACAACAGGAGGCACAAATGAAAGAGAGCTCGCTTTAACTAGTTAACACGTCACCGTTGCTGTGTATCCATCACGTGGAGTCTGCCCTCCATCAGTCCTCACCTTTTTCAGTGAACGCCTGGTCTCCTCTGGCCTGGATTCTGCTGAACAGCTCTCCTCCCTCCATACTGGACACATAGACAAGCAGGGAGAGAACAGGGATTGGTGTATTATAGAATAGTACCCACATTTCTGTTAGTACACGTGTAACACTTTTACAAAGTGCTTCACAGTTTGGATAAAAAGGCTTTAAAAATAAGTGTACATATTTGTACAGAGTCAAGCACACAGCCTTTCATTCAATCCTGCATACAAAAAGCCACAGATAACAGACAAAAGATTCAAACAAACCACAGAGTCAACCATCAGCCAACCTGATAAGGAAGGCTGTTCCAAAGTTAAGGGTCTAAAGTGTGATCACGTCTGGTTTTAAAATAAGTGTGTGCAGATGGGTGACCCTGATCAGACGACAGGAGACTAGAGCTCTGCTACAGGAGCCTGTCCATGTAAGGTTGTCTGTAAATTACACATTAGAGATCATTAAAGATCCGCTTGCCTTTACACCAACATTTGGGAGCATTTTTTTTCATCAGTAAAGGAAAGGAAGACCAAAAGAAATGTTGGTGTTCCCCCAAAGCAAAAGCACCAGGTTTATTTTAAACTACTAGTGTTATTTTTTAAAGTGGGGATTCTTTTACTTAATTATGAACTATTTACTCACACTGCTAAATCTTTTGGAGTTTCTTCTGTGATGAAACGGTAAGTGAAATAATAAAAATACTGCGTGAAAGTGAAACCGAGACAGTTTAAAAACAGGAAGAAGGGAAAAGCACCAAATTCCTACTAAACACAACAGTGTTTATACTGAATTAGTGTGTCATTATTAATTTATCTTGCAGTGATATAAACACTATTTGCCACTTCTGTAGTGTCATTAATGAGTTAGTAACACAATCAGACGTTATTTTGCAATAACATAAACGTTTGGTTTCATTTTATATCTGAGAAACGTTCAGAGACTCACTACCAAAAACATCTTGAACCAGATGATTGTGCTTCCCACTCTCCACTTTCATTGTGTGTCATAGAGAATCACTGATACCTGAAACTCCACCTTGGGTTCTTTGGAAAAATGTCTCCATAATTGCATTAAGTAAGCGCACTTAGTCCAGCACGCTTCTTGTGGATCACAAATGAACTGAGAGCTGAAGGAGGAACGGGAGCTGCTAAGCTACCCACAGCGAGCCGAGCAACTTCCTTCATACAGGAAGCAGCAGACATTCTCTCGCTGTGTGTGTACCGTCAAGGTCACTACGCACATATAACAAACACCTGCCATGTCAGTCAATGCGGTGATGACAATCACTCTTTAAAATTCCCACATACTGAGCAAAGGTGTTGTGCCTATGGAGTACCTTTTTTTTCCTCTGAATTATTCGCATTTTCTCCCTTAGAGAAATAAAAAGTGTTCAAACATGTGTCAAAGCACACCCACACACACGCACACACACAGTTATGCGTCCTTCACTCATATTCACCTTAACTGTAGCTTCTTTCCAAACCTTTAACCTTCTCCTACCTTACAACATGCATTGACTTGGACAGTGTTTTTGTCCAAGTCAATGCGTTTTTGTGTGTTTTTGTCCTTATAAGGAAAACACTTCCCCACAACATGAGTAATACCTGAACCACACACACACACACACACACTTACACACACACACAGACTGTTTAGCAATGGCGTTGAATGCATTACAAACAGTTTGTCATGACACATGAATTCCAGATGAAATTCTGTCTCTATGTCAGCTTCAGAGCAGCAGCTCTTATAACTGACCTTTAACTTGTATAAAGTTAAAGGTCACTATGGCTCAGTGGGGCAGAGCTTATTATGTAACTAAACATGTGTTACACATATTTAAAAAAAATAGACCCTTTTCTCCCAGCGGCCACGTGACATGACGTAGCTGGAAAACGCAGGTGTTACTAATCACATAATTAAGGCTCGTAAATAAATCAGACTCCCTGGTTAATCACACCGGTAACACCTGCGTTACTTCGTGTCAAGATGGCTGCCGTGACGTCTGCATAACGTTCGAGGGAATGGCTTCACCGGCTGTGCTGAAAGGTGACGTAATCTCTCATTTCAAATAAAATCCACAGATGACGTAAGCGTGTGCCCGGCTCTATCCTAACCTAACCTCAGTAAAGAACTAGTGTTATTATTTGACAGAAGGAGACCATATACAGGACGGCCTCTTAATTCTGTTTATATTTAGCCCAACTAACACTTTGAGCTTGAGTTGCTGTTATCTGTGCAGTTACAGTGTCACAACAGCGTTGATAGTATCTTGTTGGAAAAACATGTGGGCATGTTGTAAGACCTTAATCACTGCTGAGCTCATTTTCTTTGTTTGTCATGAAGCAAGGTTAAAAAAAAGAGAGAAAAAAAGCAAAAGTGGAAGCTGTAAAAATGATGCAGGGCAACTTTAGCTTGTTATTCTTAATCTATCACTTTGTTGTGTTGTCATTTATTCAAAGGGCGTCATCTTACACCATCTCTTGTCCTACTCAGAGCTGTGACTTATGGGACTCTGTACCCACTCCGAGCTCTTTTTCACATTAAAATACTGATTCATCATTACATCCCACAGAATGAAAACTTCTTTAATGTCATGCTGTCAACAAAAAGAGAGCAGAGTTACTCTAAGTTTCAAGACACTGTTGTTGTTTTTTTAAGAAAAGCTTTAAATAAGAAATTACAGAGAAAGTGTTTGATTCAAGGAAGTGCTAACTGACTGGTGAGATCCTACCACTCCATGATGATGAGCAAGCATTTCTTCCCGTGATACATGTTCTCGTAGAGGCTCAGGATGCGAACGATGTACGGCCCTCCTGACACTCGCCAGTGGAGCTCCACCTCTCGCCTCGCTTTGGGACTATCATAGAGAATCTGGGAGAGACGCAGAGAGAAGGACAGATCATGTCACGTTAATCGTTTATGACGAGTCATTCAACTTTAACATGGATAGTTTTGGTGTAGTGTAACAAAGCAGCAGCATCATTTTATCAAAACATTTCCATACAGCTGGCAGAAAACAATAAATAAAGTTAAAAATCAATTGCTGTTAATTATAAACTGTGTTTACAGCAAAAAAAAAAAATCCAAATATTTCCTGGGATTTATTCATCTTAGTCCAGGAAAGCAGTTTTTGTTTTTTTCTGCATAATGCGATATACATGAGCCAAGCTGATAAGTAGATGAATCAATACTAAATACATTGATGGTAAAAATAATCTACATCATCTTAGGTTTTACATGTCAAGACATACGTGGGTCTAAAAATTGGCAAATATGTACTTGTATGAAAAAATTACATGATATATTACACTGTGTTGTTATTTTTTTTTTTAACAAAAAGTCAGTCAAAAGCTGTAAAAGCAGTCAGCAGTACATCCCTACTGCTTACAAAGGAGTTAAGAGGGTAAGGGTGAGACAGGTGTTGCTAGGCAGATGCATTCAATGCTATAAAAGCAGATGATTTTTGGCAGTTCTCTGGTCTGCAGCATTCAGGTGTGTGTTACACAACGTCAAGACATCACGAGTGATCTTGTTGCTCATCAGTCCTGGTTTTAGTCTGATTACTCACAACTGGAAAACATTCAAGACATCAAATTGACCCCAAGGTCAGACAATGCAGTTATACCTCAGACTCCACAGGCCTCAGTTGGTATGTTAAAAGTTAAAGTTTGTGACAGGACAAATAGAAAAAGACTGAACAAATATGGCTTTTTTTGAGAGGTGACTGGGGAAAAAAAACCTCTTCAATCTAAAAGGAACATTTGCAGCACAGCTTAGCATCGCAAAGTTTCATATGAACAAACCAATGTGGAGATGTTGCGCCATATTTCACAGTGTTACGTTTGGTGAAAACCAAACACAGCACATCGGCACAAACACCCCACACCAACTGTCGAGCACGGTGGTGGAGGGGGTGATGATTTTGGTTTGCTTTCCAGCCACAGGACCTGGGTACCTTGCACTCATTGAGTCAACCGTGAACTCCTCTGTATACCAAAGTACTTTAAATTCAAAGGTGAGGGCGTCTGTGCAACAACTACAGCTTGGGCTAAACTGGGTCAATGATACTGTTTTGATCCCAAGCACAGCAGCAAATCCACAGACAGAATGACTGAAAAAGAAAAGAATCAAGGTGTTGACCCAGTCAAAGTCCAGATAAACCTGACGCAAAGGCTGTGGCATGACCCTAAGAGAGCTGTGCATAAACAAATACCCATAACATTGCAAAGAAAGGGGGCCAAAATTCATTCACAAAGATGTGAGAGACTGATACTCATACAGAAAACCATTACTTAAGGTTACTGCAGCTAACGGTGATTCTCTAAGCTACTGAATCGTGAGGTGTGCTTAGTCGCTTACACAACTTCTGTATTTTAGCTTAGCTATTGTTTAATAAGTAATGACTTCTAATCTCATGCTGCGTGCTGTTCCTCCTTTGAGGTGGCATTTAAATAGTTTTAACAACTGGTGAGAATCAGATGATTTTTTTGTTGTTATGTAAAACCAAAGCACGGAAAGAGGGTACTTTCTTTTCAAAACGACTGTAAGTGGATTGGTAGTTCAAGCTCTAACGTCAGTATAAGAACTGATGCCTATAAATACTGGAATAGCCGGGTACTCACACAGTTTGCAATACAGCAGACACACACACATAAACACACATACACACACACACACAGACGTACAAAGCAGGTGGCAGACTTTGACATAGCGCACAGTCAAGGGGTATTTTTGGATGTGACAGTGATGGAGCTATCCCCTGTTGTTCACAAGGCCGGTCTGCTTACAGACTGCGCCTAGAATACACAACACACACAGAGTTTGACTCACTGACGTATGACAGACACACATACATAAATCTGTGGTGTGTTACAGGTGACTTTCGCAAGGCTCTACCCGAGCAAATTGGATTCAGCTGGTGGGTAAACATGAAATTTCTTGGAAACCCCAAAATGCCGGAAAGAAACAGCTCATCTGTGTAGTGCCTTTTTTTCCTCTATCTTTTTTTGCTTGCTAATGTCAAAGAGGAAGCAAAGGGTTCAGAGGACGGCAGTGTGTTAAAGAAGAAGTTGAGGGTTTCCGGTGTCTGATCTGCTACTACATGTGTCCTATTTTGCTCACCCTCGCCCACTTGCCTTGACTTTAAGCGGAGCAGTGGGCAGGTTTTGCTTTTGCTATGTAATTTATAGCTTTATGACTCCAATCAAGAGCAGATAGTTTATGAGCTTGTTTCCTTAATTTCCTGCAGCGAAACAGAATCGGCTCTAATAAAAAGGGACCTGTAGCACTGTAGTAAAACATAAAAAGGGTTGCAGAGGAAGGACTAAGAGAACGAGACTGTTAATCTTCAAGAGGATTTTGTTCTTATTTGAAAGGGCACGTAAACCAGTCAACGATGACTCGACACTCAGACTAATCAGATCTGTGTCAGGAGAAGCTTAAGAAACACTGAGACACACACCTTTAGCTGATAACGCCCACTAAGTTTAACCACATGCTGCCTCCCACAGAACCTTGGTTAACACACACACGCGCGCGCACACACACAAACACACTTTAATTGCTCGAACATGTTTACACTCTATTAAATATTAGTGAATTTCAAAGTGCTGGTCTGTATATCTTCATAAAAATGTGGTTTATCTTTACAACATCTGCCAATAAAGATCTGCTCATAAAGGCTACAGCAAAGTGGTCTAGAAAGCAGGAGACTGTGTAAGTGCTAAATACTAATGTCAGCAATCCTAACATGTTCATATTCAGAGAACATCAAAGATTTGTTGGGTTGTTTCTTTTGCTTTTGGACCAAAGTGATACACAGACTGATGATGCCAATCCTAGAATCACTTTTTTTTCTTTATAATGATTTAAAAGGCCTGAAAAACTCACTCAAAATTGCCTTTTTCTTCTATAGTGCTTTTCTACTTGAACCTTAGCCATTCACACACTTTGCTTTCTGTCTGACATTCACACTCTGATGAACACATCAAGGGAACTTCAGTTCAGTATCTTGCCCAAGGATGCAGATGACCTGTGCTCCCTCCTGAGCCACAGCCACCTCTTAGAAGACTTCTACTGCTCAAGTATAAAAATACTCACAATGCATTTTTGCATATAGAAAGTGGAAGTGAAGCAATGGAAACATAAAGTTCCTCTGTGCTGTAAAGGTACAGAGTGATCAGAGTGATCCCAGAAGTTGGGTTGATGAGGTTTAAAAGCCTAAATCCTTCAATTCATTCAAGAGGACCCCAGAGACTGATTGACTTGTTGGAGGGAGCTTAACCCTAACCTATGACATCTTACAGAAACTTTCAAAACAAAAGTCTTTTTTGGAGCTGCCTTTAACCAAAACAGTGGGCATTTCCTTTATGGTGTGGAAAATTTACACCCTGAAACACACTCATATGTGCAACAAGTGTGCCAAAGTGATAACCACAGAACCCAAAGCCACTGATAAGATTTTGACTATGAGTAAAACAGACCTGCAGGCCATTTAGCTTCACTCGAAAAGGCCCAATGTTCTCTTAAATGGAACAATCACCGGACAGATTTGTACCTCTGTCTAAGCAGTTAATGGTGGAGGTCACGAACGCATCCAAACAGCACAGGGCTCTCTCTCCCATTCCCTGCTGTTAAGTAAGAAAAATCCAAGTTAAAAGAACCAAGATAACTTTAACTACATTACACTGAAAGGATGGCTTTGTTCAAGCACTGCTGCAAAGTAGATTAAAGCCATAGTCATCTATTACATTCAGCGCTCAGAGCAACACTTAATTTAAAAACCCAATGGGCCGGTCATCCGACTCTACATCAGTCTAGCCTCTGTTTACTTTTACTCACTATTTAACTTGACATAACAAAATTAATCAAATTTACATAAACGGCTGTATGAACAAGCACAGTGCAAAGGAAAAACTGCAGCAGCTACAATAGAGAAGACAGACTGAGCCATCAGAGGTGTTTCTTCTGCACCTTTTAACAGATCTTCAGAGAGAAGAAGATGGTCAGAGGTTTAATGTGATGCGTTCCCTCTCTACTTGGGTCACAGCGATCTATTGCAGGCTTTCCCCTATGGAACAGTGTGGTTGCAGTGACACACACACACACACACACACACACACATACACAGTCTTTTGGCAGAACATTAAAAGACACAAAACTTTCTTTGTGTGTTTCAGTTCTGTCATTACTTCTGACAAAAGACAAAAACTTGCTGGATTCAGATTAGCACTTTGCCTGAAGATTTTTTCTGCATCGGAAGTCTTTTTCATTTTAAGTAATTCTTTCTGCTCATATTTCTAAGCAGAATTGTTTTCTTTACCGGTCCCACCCATGATGCTGTCAAGAAAAGTATCCCCTTTCTGATTTTGGCATTCTATCTTTTTTTTTGTAATATTCAATTTCCTGCTGCAGTTTATCTCTTTTTTTTAAATCTTTAGCTTTAGTTTCTATCCCAAAGTTTTGGGTCTGCTCTCCTTTTGACACTGCTGCCTGACTGGCAGCTCAGATCCAGATGGATTACTGTAAGCCAGTAAATCTCTCCGGGTCTGTGGACCAGTGGTGACAGGTGAAAACCTGACGACCTGTGCATGTGTGCAGATGAGTGTGAAGGTTTCTACCGCTCCCAGAATAAAGTGTCACCATCACAGTCCGTGTCTCTTTGAAGCAGTGTAGCACGTGATATTTTATGGCTAGGTGACCACACACCCATTAACTTGGAACTGATTGCAAAAGGCTGACCTTCCAGGAAACACCACCAGATATGTGAATGTGAGCTCGGGGAGAAGCATGTACAGTGCATGTCAAACCCAGTATGATCAGTAGGTATATATACATGCAAAACCAGCAGTCTATTCATCTATCTGTCTATGTCAAACACTGGTTTTGTTAGTAACCTTTAACCTTTCATGTTCCTGGAAAAAGAAAATCCTACTTCCATAAAGGTCATAGTTCTTGATTCTTGTCTACACAAGTTTCCACTCTTATATTTTAAACCCACAGTGCAAACAAACACTTTAGGATAGCTTATGGACCCGTGTTTCCACACAGTTTGGCATTTAAACCATACTTGTATTAGATTAGGATCAAATTTAGAGGAGCAGCAAGTGATATAAATAAATACCTAGACACACCACCATAATCCAACATAATGGACTGACGCCTGTTTTTCCAAATGGATTGACCAGTCTGGACAGTCGACATCTATGTTATTACATCTAAACAAAGTGAGAGATAAACTTGTATCAGAAACAGGTGTTCTTTCAGCTGGGATGATCTAGAGTTATCGCTTAAAAGCTATAAAGTCTGCAGTTATACTGTGAGAGTGTAAACAGGAGGGTCGGGGACAATTTATGATATACTCATGAGACTTCAATACCTTTAGCGCGCACTTCTCTCCGGTTTTCTTGTTAAAGCACTCGAGGACTTTGCCGTTGATCCCCAAGCCCAGAACCTGATTGGAGACTTTATAATCGTCCGTCACCGCGTTTCGCTTTATCTCCAGTTTAGGGTAAGTGGGCATGGGGAAGAGTGTGGACTCTGCGTCCTTCTTGTCGGCGGCTGGGAGAACTGCCGGCTGCTCTTGCTGCAGTTTCGGGTTGCCATCCGTGGAGTCTGACTCTGTCTCACCAGCATTTGGCGGTTGCGGAGCTTTTTGCTTTCCGTTTCCATTTTGCAGCATGTTTTACACCGGCTTGCTGTCAACAGCGGTGCACAGAGGGACAAACTGTGAGCAACTCTCCGGATTAACGCGATGAGTCCAGCCCTCCTCCGGTAAATGCGTAAAGCTGAGACCTTTAACGCATCCGCCTGTCCCGTGCGGACTCTACCACAGTGACTCCACTCTATCTTCACACAGGCTAACAAGTCAGAGTCTATTTGGGGAAACTACACTATAATTATATTCTTTAAATGTAGCTCTCTGAACTTTAGCGATCCGGGGTGGCCCGTGAGAGAAAATCTAAAAAAGAATTTGAGCGCAAATGAACCATTTAAGAAAATTCCAGTCAGACGTGTTTGGGGGGTAAAAAAAAAAAGGCAGTAGTGACGATTATCTGTTGATCTCGGTTTCCCGCTGATCACTCCTTCAGCTGCATTCACATGGCCAGTCGCTGTCACAGTAGTTTAAGCGCCACCCTCCTTCAGTCAAGTCATATTTCTCAACTGACCTACGCGGCCGCCTTAAAGGAGCAGGACGGATATTCAAGCATCAAATGAGCGCTGCGGGGAGGTGAAACTAGTCAGTGGTAATAACGGTTGTATATTTGGCTGTGCAGAAAATACACACAAAAAAGGATCCAATTACCAAGTGATTTTAGTGATGGTAAATAAACACAGAGGATATTGCTTGTGAACAGTTTATTAGATAGATTAAAGTAGATAACCAATAATTAGCAGCAATAACTAATAGCAATAACTAATATAACTAATTTCTGGTTCAGAAGTCCAGTGCACAGATGAGTGCAACACCCCTTTTGACCCAGTGCCTCTGGGTGTGATGTGTTGGCAACTCCAATGATACCACATAGTTGGTAGAGTGGCCAGTGGTGGACAGAGTCCCTGCAAAAGCACACAGAGCACTTCAGTGACTTAAAGACAAAAGTGTTTTAAACCATTTCTGTTTTTTCATCGCTACACTGAGGGAAGGATTTGTGAGCAGCCTAAGGTGCCAAGATGTTGGCATTGCGAGTGGAAAAAACTGAGCTGCACTTTCAGCACTTTCAGATGCTTCATGAAATTGGACCCTCACTGGAGTCTATTTTGGGTGAGTAATAAAACCAGCAAACAGAGATACGCACAAACCTATGACGGCACACCTACTGACTACCGATCATAACCTGAGCCAGAGTTTCACAAACATGGACTTTTCTTTTGTTTTTTCCCCACAAATTTACAAAAAACTCTAATTAATCTATATTATTTCTTATACTCTCTATACTAATCTATATCACTCCTCTATATACTGACCAGCTCGTGTGAGTGTCTTGTAGATAGGGCATACATAGATCCCTGAGGCTGGAGGTTTACGGTTGGGTTTGGGGATCAGCCAGATGACGGCCATTTGGGTGTAGAGCTCCTTGGGTCTGGACTCTGCAAGCTGACCTGCCTTGTTATCCCAGCGAGCCCCCTCCAGGAATAGACCGTGAATGTAGCAGCCTGTGTCTGGTGTTTCTGTTATCTCTGACACTGACTTCACTAATACCTGAAGGATAAATCGTCACAAAAAAAGTAGTTCAAGACCAGTGAAAACCTGGGTTAGGGTTGGGGTGGGGGGGTAAAGTCATTATGAATATAGCACTTTATATACATACAGATACAAAGCAATGTTCTAAATCTGTAAGACTGTTCTTCAAAACATTGCTGCTAGTGAGGCAGCCTACGGTCTGACCTCAAAGTCAAATCCAATCGTGTCAATTGAGGTGCCGAAGCGACGGGCATAATTCTGGAGGGTTCCGGTGAGAAAAGCCTGCGGGAAAAAGAAACCGCTAATCCAGAACGCAGGTGGAATGCCGTTAGAGATCCATCTCTGTAGGAAATTGATCCTCTGAAGCAGGTCTGACACCCAGGAGGCCAGAGGCTTCAGAGACGGGTAGGCCTGAAGAACGAGAACAGCGGAGTCAAACTGTTGTATTGGTTGTATGCTCTGTGCATTCTCTGAAAGCACATTATTACATTTTAGGAGGAGAACAGAAATATCACCAAAACTTTATTTGATTTTCTGCCCAGTGAAATGGCATTTCAAATATTCAAGTCACAAGTGTGCACAATCTAGTGATACAAAAATTTGAAGAAAAAAAAAGGATAACAACAGAGAGAGAAAAAGAGAATACATTCACATGTGCAGCCCCTGCTACAAAGTGAGTCACATGTAAAGTAACAGCTGTGTGTGCCTTGCCTTGGCTTTCCACATATCAGGCACCGCATTGTTGAATAAGCTGCGGGCCATAAGCTCGAGCGCTGATGACATCACCACTGAACCTTTCAAAGCCTTCACAATATCTCTGAGACTCAGCGAGATGACCTCCAGCAGCTTGTTATATCTGAAAGATTAAAAATAATAATAATTACAAGTTACTAAAGCACTAATAATCATATGCCCACAGTTTGAGTAAAACGCAATTTTCAGGGCATGACTTACCAGAAATCTACTAATATGTGTGAGGTAATGAGACACTCCCAGATCAGGTTGATTAATGTGCAAAAATTTCTTTTTGTGCATAGTTCCACAAAAACAGATAAGCATTCACCTTGCAGAGGAATGGTGAAATGACCCCGTATGTTTCATTCCTCCTCAAATTTCTTCATGATAACAAAAAACCTTCACTTAATGGACAAAATATTTCTACTCTCTATGTATACCAAAAAAAAAAAGTTTGTTGATCAATATGAATGGCTCGGGAGATGCTAAGTCGGATTCTGGGACCTTCAGCCTCCAGACTCACTCTGGACAAATTTTTGACGCCAGCTAAATCGGCTCATACACAAGTATGATTACATAGTTATTGATATCTATTTGAGTGGTGTTTCTTTTAAAAACCCTTTTTGCCATTCCACTCTGCTCTTATAATGAAGATCAGAGTGGAATGACATTTTTTTAACCATGTAATTAATTGTTTATTAGTACAGCCTAATGTTACCTGATGACCTCCTGGATGAGCACAGTGTTCATGGACTCCTCGTAGAGCACCGGGTATTTTTCCATCACTCCTTCAACGTCAAAAGGAGGAGGGATCTTTTCAACGATGCCTGCCACTATCTCCTCCACTATCTGTAGCGAAGAAAGAAACACAGATCGTAGACAACACACCACATGCCCCGCACCTCTCAAACTCTATTTAATTACAAAGCAATCAATAACAATTAGTGCTAAATTGAATTATTAAGCAATCAATAACATGATGCTAGTAGTAATAATAAAGACATCTAAAGACAAATGAATCTGTATCGGTACCTCCTCAAGAGTTTTGCCCCCAGCAGATGTAGCTCGGGGCTGGAGACGAACCACAGCTTCTAACAAGCCAAAGGCCTCATTCTGAGCAAAGCTGATGTTAGCGTTGTCATGGAGACCAAAGATCTCAGGTGTGTCATTGATGGGCAAACCACGAATGTATGCCAAATAACCCTAGGGTCACAATTGCCATGACAGCGAGTCAGTCAAGCAGTCAGTGTCTGACATGATCAGAGTTAACATTTTACAGCATTTTTAACAAAATGTCTTGATTGGACTGCATTTCTAGTCTAAGCTTAAATCACAAGCTTTCAGGCTTTTCTGCAATCTGTGTTACTGCAGGCAAATACTCACAACCTCTCTTGTTATATTTCCTTGTTTGGGAATGGCAGCAAGAAGAGAGAAAACAGTTTCTATTGTTGTGAACTTGTTAAAGAACAAACTCACACAAAGGGAAACACACTGTGGCATTGCAGCACAGTAACTCCTGTGATAGTTTAACTTCTCTGAGCTGTGGAAACTTTTGTTCTCTATGACTGATTTGTATTTGATGGCTGTGTGACTCATGGTGTTTTACATGACTGATGTTTCCCCCCAGGCTTGGCTAACTCAGCCTTACTTCCAAAAAATGCATATAGCATGACTCTTTTCTGTTTTTTAAAAAAACATATGCCCCTATTTAAGTTTGATAAGGCACACACTTGCCTTTTATACTTTGCTTGTCTCACAATCAATAGCCTGTTATGAACTCAAAATTATGTATAGTAAACAGAGAGTTCTGAGTTTATCTAACCTTGATATCCAGTTTTGTGTCGATTTGCCGGTAGACTCCAGATGCAGAGTAGACGTGATCACTGCTGAGGACAGCAGGACAATAGAAGTCCTCCAGCACACTGAGCAGACATCGTCTGTCCCAGTCATCTGTCACACGGCCACCATAATTAATCTCTCCTGCAGTGTATCTTAGAACCTGGACAGGTGGAGGACAGCAATGGGAGACAGACAAATGAACATGCTCGGCACAGGCAGAACACAGGCGTCTTTCCTAGATGGCCTGTGTTTCTGCTTATAGCTTATACATCAACTATCTGTAAGAAACATTCTTATAACTGTAAGAAACAGTATGTATAAGTAGGAGCAATTTGAAACATCATCTTCAAATAGGTAATGAAACAGAGACAGAAGTGTTGCCTCCACCTTGTATGGGATGTCCTGGTACTCATCCAGGAACATTTTGACCTGGCTGATACAGATGTTCAGGTCGCCATCAGTGAACTCATAGGGAATGTTGAAGCCCAAAGGGCCAAACTTTCGTCTCTCCAAAGCAATTCCATGGAACAGGCAGAGAGACAGCAGCAAAGACTTAAAGTCTGCTGTCTAGACAAGAAAGAAGAGTAGAGGAACCATTCATAGCAAATCTACACACTGGTTTGAGAAGACTTTACTATATGTTGTCAAACCAAAGCAGCAGGAGCTAAATATGGGAAACCAATCAGAGACACTAGAAGTACTTGAGACAGACCTTGGTGGAAGAGGAGAGAAAATCATTAGTGAGCCTCATGTAGGTTTTCTGTAGGTTGGCCTTGATGCCTCTTGGAGGTTCAATGGTCATCTTGGAACCATTCTGCAGAACAGACACCGGGAACTTATTGCTGGGAAGACTTGTGAGCCACAGGCGGAAGTTCTCGTGCACCTGTACAGGAAAAGAGACAGATTTTTCACTTGGAATATAAAGGATGAAAAAGCTCTGTGTCCTTGGCTAGTCTAACATATACACACTGAGGATCTGTTTTGCTTCTGGTTTATATTTGTGTCCTCCTGTTGTCACCTTTAGTGGGTTGATGTTTTCAATAAGTCTCTCCAGGGTAGGCATCCAGCTGGGTGCCAGATGACAGTTCTGGAAAAAGACCCAGTGACCTCTTTCCATGGCATCGTGCATCATACTCTCAGCCCAGGGGCCCTGAATCACACAAATGACAGCATTTCTGATAAGTTTAATCATTATTGGAGAAGCTGGTCTCATAAATAATATTTTTACTGTGGGCCTCAGTGCATCTCCCTACAGCTGAAAGGTTTTGGACACTCAGTTGAATGCAGACAGAAATTGAGAAGGGGGGATACAAAAAGCCTGACACGAGCCAAGATCACGTAATTCCAAGTAATGTGATGCTAATGTCTATTGAACGGCTAAAGTGTGCTGCTAGAAGAATGTTGCCAGCGCGGTTTAAGGTTTTTGGACACTGAGTCTACATTTATCATTCAAGCTTCTTAAGCTCATTTATGGCCCCTAGAGTACATTGTCCTGGAATGGTCACAAATAGTGAAAACAATTAGCACAGAGGTGCTCTCATTCTCACCAAGACAAATGACAGTGGCCTGGTTCAGTGAAAATGTGATTTACAGCAGATTCCTGTGAGTCAGAGAGTGTGTGTGTTAGAGAGAGTGAGAATTCCCAGGCCCCCCTTCTAAAACTGACCTGGCCTTGGCCAAGAGAGATGGCGCTCATTTTCTTGGAGAATTGCATGACATCAGCAAATTTGTAGAGGTCAGCAGCAGGGTCGGTGCCAGGGGACAGAACAAAGATCAGGGGAGTGGAGGAAGATGACTCTGTAAAGACGACAGACAGGTCTGATGTCTGCAGAAAGATGGAAAGAGAAATAAGCCATAAATGATGGTAAATGGCCTGCATTTGTATAGCGCTTTACTCAGTCCCTAAGGACCCCGAAGCGCTTTACACTACCAGTCACATTCACACACTGGTGACGGCAAGCTACATTGTAGCCACAGCTGCCCTGGGGCACACTGACAGAGGCGAGGCTGCTGGACACTGGCGCCACCGGGCCCTCTGACCACCACCAGTAGGCAAACACGGGGTTAGTATCTTGCCCAAGGATATTTGGCATGCAGCCAGGAGGCAGCCTGGGATTGAACCACCGACCTTCTGGTTAGTGGCTGACCTGCTCTGCCACCTGAGCTACAGCCACCCAAATGATGTTATCACATACTGTGTCATTGTGTCATGTTACTGCACACAACTGAGCTTTACTATGCATTTTAAGAAGGGAGAAGTACTTTACCTGAGGCTCTATGAAGCGCTGTCCTAACTCAGCAGCAACAAAGTCCTGCAGGCCTTGAATGAGGCAGTCGGCCCTCAGACAGCGCAGGACCAACAGCTTCTGGAAAGAGTCCAGGATGACATCCCACACTCCTGGGAGGGGCTCCCTTTAGGCAAATATACAGACACAAGCACAGCTTGTTAGACACTCACAGCTTCTGCAACATACAAATAAAGGTGCAAAGTGTGAATGTGTTAGCACGGTGTTTGGCTTTACATGCCTGTGAGGCTGGCTACTGTCAAAAATTTTCTTGAAGCCCCCCAGATGTTCAGGGAAGCTTTGCGCTAGGTTAGAAAAATTTTTCAGAGTGCTGAGGCCTAAAATGTCCTGCCAGGCACGTTCTGACAGCCAGCTTACTGCTGGGTTGGCCAGCTGTTGGACAGGCATTCCTCCAGACAACAGGTAGCGCCACTCAACCTGTCAAAAGGAGGCGATGCAGCTTCATCACGTGTATTTAGGCTGCTTATAGAAGATGACAGATCCCCTTCTTGCCGTTACTCACCATGTTAATCTTGTTGTCGTTCATCATGATGCGAGCGCACAGGAGAAAGGCAAACATCAGTTTGTGTTTCTCAAACAAGCTGCGACATATATTACCATAGAGGCTGAAGGTGAAATATTCATTGATGTTCCAGATTCTCTCCTCCACTGTGTCTGTGTGAAACATGTCAAGAAAAAAGGTGCTACCATAACATTGTTCACATCTGGTTCTTGTGATTTTGTTATCTTCACACATGTAGTTCAGTGTATAATCCTGCTGACTACCTGCACTTCTAGAGTTGGCAATACCAGACAAAAAGATTCCCAGGAACCACTCCAGAGAGTACTGGTACATTGGGTCAACATTGGACAGATCTGACACGCAGAAGAAGAGGATCTGTGCACGCACAGCCACAGGGACATACTCCAGACGGGCAGCATCAATGTCCTGCTCTGTCTTTTCTGCTGCCTTCACTTTAGCCTGCCAGAAACCCCGACATCGAAAACAGAGCAAATGTGGCTTAAAAGTTTAATGATGCATCACCAACATTTTATGAACAAGGGTGTAAAGAAAATTATTTAAACACTTTCCCGATATACAATATTGGACACAAAACTTTTCCACTGCCTGACCTTGATCTCTCCAGCTTTGATCTTCGAAGCCTCCAACACTCGGATGAGCTCCTCATTGTCCACAGGGTTGCCCTCTGTGGAGCTGAGTCGGAACAGTATCTCATCCTCAATTTCTTTCAGCTCCTGCTTCATCTTGGCATTGCTGGTGATTAGCTGGTTCTTTGCAACCTCCAAGTCTTGCTGCTCTTTAGCCACCACCATCCCCAACAACTGGTCTTGTAGACCACTGAATATAAATAGAATGCCCAGTCCCACAAATTCAGATGGCATGAGTAAGTATCACTAACAGAAACAAGTTTGCAGGAGTCAGGACAATGTCCAAGCAATTACATTTTAACATCCTGCCAATCTTTTCAGTTATGGACTAAATAAATTATAATCACAGCAGATACTAAAATTAAAATGTGTGTTACCTGGGTGATAGGGTGAAGTTTATGAGTGTGACTTTGGCAGAAAACTCTGGAGAGTAGTGTGGGTTGGGCAGCTTGGTTGTGAGGTACATCTTGAAAGACTCGTGGTAGTCGATGAGTGAATCGCCCAGTTTCAGTAAAGTATGGCCTTGCTGCTTAAAAGTCTTAATAGGTGTGAAATAAACATAGTGGTGTGTTAGAAAGGTGAATAACACTGAAATAAAAAGAACCATTTGTTTGCAGCAGGTGTGTGAGTAATCACCTGTTGTAACAGGACAGGTTCTAGAGCAGGATCTAGTTCTTCCCCCACATTCTCTAAGAGGCAGGGTTTACCGAAGCGGATTGCATTCTCAAGCCTGCGCAGGAAGTCCCGGTCACTGAGTTTCACAACCTCCAACCCACTGTCCCTTTCCTGGGTGACCACAGGAAACATTTATGAGTAAGCAGTAAATCAAACATCTATTTAAGCATGTATGTGTTAATAATATGTCCAGAGTTTGTTACACATCACTGTGATGTTGTTGTTAACATATTAATTATGTGCACTAGAAACTTTATGATACCGACGCTTGATCATATAATTACATATCACATTAAAAAAAAATTAAAGAAACACTTTTTAATCAGAGTATAGCATCAAGATAGTTAAACTTATGGGATATTGATGTGGTCAGTTAAGTAGCAGTTGGGGTCAGTTTCAGTTTCAGTTGCTTTGGTGTTAATGACACTAACAACAGGTACACTGGAGGGTCAATGAGGCAAAAACAGCAATAATTTTACAGGTAGAGGCCACTGACATCTTCCCCTTCTTATCTTTTCAGCCTTCTGTAGGTCAATCATTTTCATTTCCATCAAACAATGTGGCATCCTGTAATTCCTAACACACTCCCAAGTAAATATCTGTATAGTTAAATGTATGTTAAAGTGTTCCTTTATCTTTTTTGGGCAGTGTATATCCAAATACTGCTCTTTTTCTTCTCTCAAGTTTTGACATAATCAGCACAGTTTGACCTCACCATGTTTTTAATCCATGTGTTTGCTTGTCCCTGAGGATCAATGAAGAGGGCCCAGCGCAGAGAGTACTGAGAAATCACACCATTTTCCACAGAAAGGTTGTCCTTGGGCAAACCTGCTATCTACAGGCACAAAGAAATAAAAAATAACATTAACACAATAAAAAGTCAAATTAACCCAGAAAGGGTGAAAAAACAAAATAAGCCACTCCTATAAATAAATTGCCTCCAACCTGCCAGGTGCGGATGTTCACTGGATCTCCCAGAGTGCTGACCAGGTTGGGTTCATCAGTGTGTGGAACACCCAGCTCTTTGAAACCTTTCAGCAATTCTTTAGCCATGGCTGCTCGGTACTCTCCCTGACACCCCCCCCCCCCCCAAACAAAAAACAAACAAACAAACAAACAAAAACAAAAATAATCAACACACAAATTATGCTTCATTGATAACTGCATATACAGTATATTGTATTGTGGGAGAGGACCAGATGGAGACATGCTAAAATGAGGAATATAGACAGATACAGTGCAACATTTTATTATGATAAACTTACAGTGAAGGGTCCCAAGTATGCAATATATCCTGCAGACAGAAGTATGTCACCGGCTACGTTACTGATCATGTAATCCAAATGTTGTACTGTCTCCTTCCAACGCACTTTTTCATCTGCCAATCCACCAATAAGCTGGAAAATATAAAAACAGACTAACATTTAAGGACATATAGTAACTGGTACCATAAACCTTTCTGCTTTCTGTTGTTTTATTTTTTTATATTTATGTATATGTTCCAAACAGTTTGAGTATATAGACTGAAACAATTGCATTACTATATAAGTTAATGTGTTGTTTTCTAACTGCTTGATTTGGCCATGTGGGTTGTAACTGTAATGCTAATTTTTTCTCCCGGTTGTCTGACCTTGTCTGCTCGGACGAGGCGAGCCTCACATAGTTGATACTTATTGTCCAGCTCGTCTTTCTTAGCTAGGCAGTCCTGGTACTTGGCCTGCAAAGTGGCAATCCCAGCTTCCACTCCTGCCAGTTTCTCTTTGGCTTTATCCAGAGTTTGCTGGGTTTCTGCTAAGTCCTCTTGGGCTGCCTGGAGAGCTATCTACACGCAAATTTACACATTTACTGTTTTGATTACTCTGTTATCTGAAAGACATATTACTATATCTATTGTATGTCACACATAGATAATTAACACAGTTTTACCCTTTTAGGTTCCACAGCCTTCGCCACAAAGTTATATGCATGCATGGCTCGCACCCACTGGCAAATGGAAGTGCAAGCTTTGGAAATCTTGGCAATGGAAGCTGGCTGAAATTCCTCATTATCTATATATGGCTGGATTAAGCTGATCACATTATCTGGGATGTTATCCTGCAGTATAGGAGGCAGAAAAAGCTGCTTTTAATACACTGCAAGCATCAAACACTGAAACTTGAAGCATAAACTCAAATTTGAGAAAGTCAACAATAACGTTCTCGTCAATACTTACTACACCTTATCATATTTGAAGAGACTTTCCAGAAACTTTCCAGGGTCCTGGAGCAGACCCTTCCCAGGCTCCCAGTAGTCATCAACCTTGGTGCCAGGTTTCTCCCCAGGTACCTTTTTGGGTTTGATGCCTTTCATAATGCACACTGCTTCAATAACCAGCTTTACACCTTGAGGAGGTCGCTGCATGGCTCGCACCTATATAAACCAAACAAAAAACAACTAAAACGATACTGATACTGTACATCTGCACATATCTGATATGTGATAAATATCTTAGCCAGTAATTATCAAAATCCCTGACCTCAGTGACATCATTCTTGTTGAGTGACTTGAGGCTGGCCAGGGCAGCATCCAAGGCTGGCAGAGCTTCGTCTAAGTCTCTCTGAGCATCTGCTGCAATGGCTCCTGCAACACGGGCCTTCTCTGAAGCTTTTGCCTCCTCTTCTTGCACTGACCTACGGGTCTCCTCTGCAACCACTGTGTCTTTCTAGTAATTTAGAGTAAGAATTACACTCAACATACACATACAAAGCATACACAGCTCATACAATGCTGAACAAAAGAAACTGGTCCCAGATTTGGTTGCTCTAACTCTGACTGCATTGTGGTCAAGAAAACTACATTAATGTTTTCTTACTTTAATGGTCTCCATGGTAACTTTAGTGTCCTTAGCAGCCTCCTCCAAAAGAGGTCTCATGGTCTCCAGCTCTTCTTGCATTTTACTCACACCTTCAGCAGTGCTAAGAAGCTACAGGACCACCATATAACAGTCATTCAACTAAGACTTCTCATTAAATGCATGAATTTAAACCGTGAACCATAAATTTTCTTGTTATTATGCAATGCCTTGCCTTCTCCAGACCAGTATTCATGCGTTGTCGAGCACCAGACAGCTCTTGTTTTTTGCGTCTAATGAGATCTGAGAAGATTTTGAACAGTTCCAGGTAGCTTTTAGGTGTGACATAATTGCGTCGAGATAGTTCAGCCATGTACTGTTCACTCTTCCTGGCCACCATCTGGTGAATCCTCACACACATTGTTGTCTACAAAAAAAAAAAAAAAATCAGTTAGGAAAAAAAAAATATATAGTCACTAGTGTAGCTATTTGTGTCACCTTACAAAATCAAAGGATAAAACTGTGTTGTAGAGACCTGGAAGCTGCTTTTTGTGTATATTAATGCATTAGAAACTTTTACATTTGCTCTAAATCCAAACAGCAGAAGCAGAAATGCAGATTCTTTGCACAGCAAAACACAAACCCGTAACAGTTTACGAGTCATTTTTCAGATTACTGTACATTTTCCCTAAAATTTCCAAACAATTCATTTTTATCTCTTAGGTCTGAACAATTTTGTGCATAGTTGCAAATAATGAAGGATTTTAGAACAGAGCAGGTTGGGTTTTTTTTAAAACTTATTCGGCCCTTAATGTGAAAAAAGGAAGCATAAAGACAGATTCTGACTATATAGGGAATAAAAATGATCAATTAACCCATGAAAAAGGAAAGCATACAATGCTAACTCTCAAACTTAACACCAGTGGCAAATTGGCTTCATGTTTAAATGTGTGAAAGCTATCACCATGGTTGCTACAATGTCTTATTTTTATTACATATACTTTGAGCATAGTGCTTTCTGGCTTTGTCTACATGCATAGACACAAAATCCAGGATTCTCACCAGTCCCCCCATGGCAGTTGGGTTTGCTTCCACTTGAGGTATCTCACTAAGAAATGATGTGGCCACAGCCAGGAGAGCCTCCTCTGGCCAAGTGCTGAACCAGTCTATGGTACAACAGGTCACCAGTGAAGGAAACTGCCTCATTCGTGCACGAAACACCTCACCGATGGGACTGTAGTGGAAAAAAAGAAGAATGGAAATATAAGCAGCAGGAAAGGGAGATTACACATTAAAACTCAGCGTTACTAACCTCATGCAGAGAACAGTGTGAATATTGCTGCGAACTCTCCTGATGTAGGCAGCCATAAGATTGGCTTTAGTTGGCTGGTGGCCCAGGTCTAGCACCACTGGCTTCATTCCCATCAGGATACGCTCCTGCTCCTCTGATGTATACAGGTTGGGCACATCACCGCTATTCAAAATGCTGTTGATATCCTCCAGGAAAAACTCACTCTTAATCTGGTGATTGGACATTTAACAGTTAACTTTTAACAGTGAGTTTAAAAATTGACTCGGGTTTTGCGTAGGAAGTAAAAGTACATATCCACACATGTAGTTTCTTCAGCTTATTATACAGTCAAGAATATCAGATGGTAAGAATGTGCAGCAGTATACCTGTGTGTCTACAAAGAGGAAGGTGATCTGCTGGTTCTGGAGGCCTGCCTTGAACATGATGTTTTTAATATCTTCTCTCCACTCAGTGTGGCCATAGTTCTTAGAGAGCTCAATCTGGAAACACTCATATTCTGATCTGAGTATGAACAAATGCTTTGTGAAAGCTGAGCCACAACATGATTGGAGCACATTCTCCATGTTTCTATAACAATTAAACTTTAATGTAAAATAAAAGCAACCAAATGCTGATAGTTTTATGTTACTGAATCTACATCTCAAATACATCTAAGCTATAAGAATGATAGGAATCTTACATATAAGAGGCCAGCTTAGTGAGAGACTGGCGTCCACTGCCACCCACTCCAAGGAGCAGGGCATTGCCTAGGGGCTGCCGCAAGATCCGCCTGATACGACACACGTGCTCAATGGCGTCCATAAAGAGCACCAGCTTCATCTTGGTCATGCTGATGTGATTGTAGTCTTCCATGTACTCCTCCATTACTTTTACCAACTAGACAATTTCATATAAAGAAAAACAAGATTAAAATCAGTTCTGCTGAAAGGACAAAAACACATTTATGAGGCCAACAGAAAAAGATCCATGATTATAAATCAGCTGTTTAAAAAGGTGAAAAGAAAAAAAAAAATTCCCCACTGAAACAATTTTTAAGGCTGGAGTAACAACGCTCACCTTCTCTTTGTCATCTATGGGTTTATAGCCTTTGTGGTCAGCTCTGGGATCCATGAAATCTCCGTACAAAACAGGATGGCAGGGGACAACCTCTTCAAAGCAGCAGTCAAATTCTTCAATGCAGTCTTTCAGGACCCCTTTGAACCACTCTCTATCCTCATCACACACCAGGCGGTCCTGGAAAATCCGGCAGCTTTCGTGGTACCACAGGTGGAGCAGCTGTACTTTATCCTAAAATAAACAAGCAAAAAAACCCCAAAGAAAAAAGCTAACTTTGGACTTGGGATTTTAAAATAATCTCAGCAGTTGCCACTGAATTATTAATGCTCCGCTCATATCTGTAAGTCCTGTTGTCTGAGTTTTGCAGGTCGATCTTAAAGTGCTATAATGTAATGACGTTACTTATTTCATTGGTTACAGTAAAGAGTAAAGTCATGTGACATTAGGAAACGAAAGGATAGACCTACAACGTATTCAACATTATAAATATGACTATTTAATCATAACTACCAACATAACTAATCATGTCAGACTTACCTCTATCATTCTAGCTTCAGCCATGAGGATGCCCTGAAAGACTTTGGATAGATCTCTGAGATTGAAAGTGTAATGGGATTTGGCTGGAGTTGGGAGCAGCTGGGAGGTAATGGTAGAGTAGACTCGGATAGTGGCATCTACAAGAGACTCATTCAGTGGCTGGATTGTTGGTACGGGTGCTGATAGGAAAAAAAGAGAGAGATAGAGAGACACACAGAGAAATAAAGAAATGCATTAGATTGGAAGACTTTCACAAAGCACTGGTCCAAGTTTGTTTTTTCCAAAATCCTCCATTTAACAATTGAGCTGTTTTACCTGACCATAATTCAAAAACACTTTGGTTCTTTTTGTATTAAAGAAACACACGTATAAAACTGACTGAGTATTAGGAACATTTCCATTTTCTGTATCCCTAAACTCACTGCCTGGTTCCTTTTTATTCATATTTCCATGTGATAGAGTACAAATAATGAGCCAGAAAGGTTTTTAGGCTAATATCTATCCTGCATTCACTAACATAACGTTAACATGTGGTCTTAAATTCAAACCCAGTGGTAGGACTCGGTAGTTCTGCTTACCCATCCAACTTCCTAGAATGGTAGAAAAAATGTTTTTCTTGCTGGCATTGTCCAGTTCAGTAAAGGACAAGAAGTTGAAGTGGCGTGTGAAGCGCTGAGTTATCGGGTTTCGCCCTCCACCTGGGGGTCCCATGGCACAGGCAAAATTGATATCCACTAGTTGCCTGAAAGTCCCTGTGTACAAACAAAAAGAGAACCTCAATACAAAATTCATTTCTGATCCAAAATATTGAAATAAAACACAAATTTTAGTGTTGGAACATGAACGATCAATGTTGTAAGAATGCCCTCAGATGGTACAACTAGGCAATTAATACAAAATGAAGCTAAAAGGTTCAAATGTTTACACAGAAATATTCCAGGGAACAGTAAAAGTGAGAACATGAAATAGGCTGAAAGCTCTCACCTATCTGAGTCCTGTCGTACCAGCCTCCGTGGTCCATCCACTGCCTCAGCAGTTCAATGGGAGGCTGAGCGCCATAGGTCTCCAACATGGGCATGTTTAGGTCATCGATGAAAAATACAAAGTACTTCCCTATTGGAGGTCCAAACACACCTTTCCACCTGACACACAAGCACATGCACCAATCAAAAGGCGAGGCTCAGCGATATTGTTGCCTTGCTGAAAATATCTAGTTGGTTTCATTTGGAACACATCTCGGTACCTTTTGTCTACTTTGCTGTCAATGAAATCTTGAGTCTGATTGGCTGAAGTGCGGGCAGAGAACATGAGGAAGTGTGTGATATACTCAGCAGGCATGCTATTTAGCAACTTATTTGACATGGTCAGGGTCTTTCCTGTGCCAGTTGGCCCAATACAGAGCACCTGGAAACACACACACATTAAACAGATTAAACTGTTTTAATCTTTTCAACATTTTCAACTTTCCATTGAAAACCTTAAAAATTACTTTAATCACAGGAAGCTGCACTCACGGGTTTCTTGTTGGTTAAAAGCATATCCAACAGGAAAGACATTCTCACTGTGTCTGCAGTTGGAACAATAATGTCTGAAAATTTTGTTTCTGGGGTGATTACTACACTCTCTGCATACTTCATCCAGCTGACCCACTGGACCTATAGTACAGAAAAAAGGCTGACTCAGCAAAAAATGAATCGATAGTTTTATCTAACATCTATGCAAAAATTTCTGTTCGTTTACTTTTCCTCCCTCATCTTCATCGTCACCATCCTGATTCCTTATTCCATCATCAAGTCTGTAGTCATACACCGAGCCTTCTTCTGGAAAACACAAGTTGATCTGAAGGAGAAATACATTTACAATGTTGAAATAAACTGCTGTCAAAAATTATCCAGTGGACATATATTATACTTAATATATATTCAATGTGTCTGGGATGCCAAAGCAAAGATGATAAGCTGACCCTCTCTTCTGCCATTTTGTTTCTGAGCCACGCACTGAAGCGCTGGCTACTAGCTGCATCTCCTGTGGCTCCTACACTCCACACCAGACAGAAAAAGAACCAGGGCTCAATCAGCTCCTTTAGATGGTCCAATTTCACTTGAGGTGGTGGCTTCTCACCCTAAACAATAATGAAAGACTTGTGAGGGAAGGATGAGTATTATAAGAGACAATCTGACACAGCCAAGATTGACACAAACCTTTTTAATATTGAAGGGAGTGAAAAAGCAGTCCATCATTTTAAGCAGACTACAGGTAAGGTTGCTGTCCAGAGATGCGATGACCTCCTTTACTGAAGTGCGGACAAATGTAATGGAGTCCTGAATAAAATACAGAGAATTAAACTGTTTTTATAAACACTGTAACAGCCAGAGGCTTTAATATTGTACTGTCTCAGTTATGTTGACTACTCTTTTACCTGCAGAAACCTGTCAAACAGAGAGCTGAGCATCTCTTTGTATGGTTTCATGGCGTTAGGAATCTGCCTCAGCCAGCACTCTGTGAAAGGGGTGAGTCCCAGAATACTTGGCTCCAAGTAAACCATACCACAGCGAGACACTGTAGCCGGAGATGCAACTGCCAGGTCCTGCACCTCAAACATCATGGTCATTACCTACTCGAGAAAGATGCGAAACAAAATTGGTGAAGAGATAACAGACTGACTGAAAACCCAAGGTTGGGAAAACGAAACCTTCATCTTACGTCGGTGAGCTTAATGATTTCGCCAGAGCTGAGACAAAGCTTTTTGTTGTCATCCAGGACAGTGTTCATGTTCTCAATCCATACAGCATCCACTGGCCCGTCAAACATGTACCACTTTTTCTTCTGGTCCATAGATGCTACGCCTTGGCGAATAAGACACGAGAGGATACCGTCTGTCCTACAGGGGTGGAAAAAAAGCCAAAATGTTGGTGCCTTTTTTTAAACTCCTCTATAAATCGTGTCAGAAGGGGCATTCTTACCACTCATGTGTGAGCAGTTCATACTCTCCATAAAGTTGTCCCATGGTAATTGACTTTGGGTTGAGGACATATGTTTGAACAGCCTCGTAGACACCACCGCTCACAGAGGGCTGGCCCTCCAGAGCTGTTATTGCTGCACCTAGAATCTCATAACACTAAAATGCACAGTGTTTATTAAGATAAAGTAACACAAAAACATTAAACACAAGAACAACATGAAAATGACTCACTTTGGTTTTCCCTGATCCAGAAGGTCCCACCAACATCAGGCCATGTCTCACCACAGTGGTTTCATACAGCTGAATACACTTATTAATATACCCTGGAATGCCCACCAGTTCTGTTATTAACTCACTCAAAAATAAAGACAAAAGAAACACTTTTAGAAACACTGACCATCGACATCTTTGAGGTTCTTCGCGGTGCAGACATTACGAATGGACTCTTCCAGTGTGCCATAATTGATCGGCTCCTGTTTTATCTTGGGAAAAAGATCAGACACGATGCCATTGAAGAGCTTCAGGTCGTCCTGTAAAAACTTTGGTACATTGACGTCTTGAATGGCCCGAAGACAAATCAGCTCCTACAGGACAGATTGTAAAATAATATCATTTTTAAATTTGTAATCAAAAGATTTTTCACAGCTCACAAATCTACTTCTAGATACACACAAGAGAAAAATAATGGCACCTCGTTCATGTTCGGATTTTCCCTTTTTAGGTTTCCAGCAGCTGAGATCACAGTCTTAACAGCTCTCATACCAAAATCATAATGATCCTTCACAGGACAAAACACAAAGGTCATCACAGAGTTCAACTCTTTGTAACATTATGACTGTACATACAGTTTAATGTCCTATTTGCCAATTTTACAAAGTCAAAAACTAATAAAAACAAAAATGAATTTCTGTTCAAATTGACCAGATTTACTGCAGTTTAGTTAGCTGTTCTAATCATTTATTTACCAACAAAAACAACATGAACATCAATATTAAAGCAAAACTACACAAACCACAAAAAATTACCAGAAAAAAAGCAAAAATTTTGAAGACTCTCTACCAATGAGTGATAAAAATGCTCACTGGTAGAGAGTAGTGTATCACTCCCAACTGTAGCAGATTCTGTATAAAATATAATTGATTCAGTTTTCTGCTGTAAATGACACTGGTGGTGCCATTTATAGCATCTATGAGGAGGTATGAAGACTCCTCTGAGTTCATACCTGAGAGCTCAGCTGTTCAGAGGAGAGTTTGAAAGTTGTTGTGATCTTGTTGGAGAGAACTTTGGCATCACTGAAGCCAAATGAGTATAGGGAGATCTCAGCTATCATCGCATAGTTAGGGACCATCATGGCCACGGGACGAAACAGGGCCTGTGGAAGATGTGATCTCATTTTTTGAACCTCATCAGCTTATCCTCGGTGTTACAATGACACAATTACTTAAGTTCGAGTTATCATGTCAAACCTTGAGATTGTCAGGCAGTTCTGTGCGGCCAGCATAACCAGGATTCATAGTGATGAATACCGCGCAAGAGGGGACAAGAGGGATCTCTACCCCCTCGAACACAAACCTCGCTGCCTAAAAAAATAACATACATAACATGCATAATTATCTTTTATAAAAAGAATTAGGTAATATATATGTATACATATTTAAGTGATACTGTGGTGGACCACTGGAGGGCTCCACTCACACCCAGTTCTCAGGAAGTGTTGTTGCTGTGTTTTGGAGGGAAAAGTGTTCAGTTGTGTGGTGATGAGTAATAAACGAGCAGTGTCAATTGAGCGCTCTCGTGTCGTCTGTGTTTACCTCCACAATATTTAAATCTGTAGCTGGTAGGTAGGGGGGTGTGAAAGTGTAAAAAAGTGCAATCAGCTTCTCACCCGTTGCTGCTGGGCCTTTTGTATAGTGGTGATCTGCTGCGCCACCACGGACAACACTTCAACATCAATACGATTAAACTCATCAAAGCAGGCCCAGGCACCAGAGCTACAAAGTGTGAGCCAGATAAGGAATCATAAATGTACGGTGCTACATTTTGTAACAGCTGAATCATTGTGTCATACCAACAAGCTGTTACCTGGCCAGTCCTTTGAGAAATTTGCCCATTGCAATAAAGTCCAGCTGATCAGAACAGTTGAAAACTACCGTCTGGATCGCCAGAGCCTTTCCAAGGTCTTTAGTTGTTTCTGTCTTTCCTGTGCCTGCTGGACCTGCAGGTGCCCCTCCAAACTTCAGGTGCAGAGCTCCTGTCAGGGTCAAGTAGCATCTAAAAAAGCCAGATTGGTGTTCAAATTGGTGAATGATATTAAGTTAAAAACAGGGTAGAGTAACCTTTACCTGTCAGTGAGTGGAGTGATGACCAGCCGCCCAGAGTTACCAAGGTACTCGTAGCCATACAGAAATTCTGCATTCACTGCGCGGATGTACAAATCACCTTTTGCCCAGTAGTATCTACAAACAGCATCGCATAAATGTAACACTCCTTCTGCACCTACAATGTTTCACATTTACCCCATGAATGAACTCCAAAGTTCAGAAGTAAAAACAACAGCAAAATAAGAAGGAAACCTTAGTTGGCTGATCCACTCAAAGTCATTGATGCTTGAGACCTCCTGCTCCACCATTTTGGCTGCTACATCTTTAGCATGGACTTCTATGACAATAAGGGCAGACAGCACAGCTCGCTGCATCTTGGAGAGCTGTCCTCGCACAAGCTTCACCAAGTCCCCCAACTTCGCAAAAAAAGGTAGAATGTTAACAATGTTGTTAGACTCTCGTGTGAATAGTGTTCAGTGCAATGAGAGCAAATAAAATGGCAATATTTTTAACTGGCTAGTCTAAATCACATCCACACCTGTGTCTGTAGTTGGGGATAAAGACGAGTGGCTAAGTTTCTCTGCTCCAAAGCGTCTGACACCTCAGCGGTCCAGAAGACCTGACAGCCTGCTATCACCACTTGACCAGGCCATGATAACACCCACTCTACACGTGGTTGCTGAGAAAAGAAATCACATAGCATCTTATTGAAATGCCTATTACATGTGAAAAACAATAAAATTCAGGTTCATGTACCTCATGGTAGTCTTTGAGTGACCGGTCAATGTTATCTCTTAAAGTAGCTTTCATAGACTTCTCCACATCCCTCAGCCAGTCCTCCACATTACCAGTAGGACAAACTGGAGAGAACAGTTTTACCTGTTCCCCTTCTCCAGAGTACATGTGTGTGATCTGCAGGTCTGACTGAAACTGAAGCTAAGAAACGATAGAAATCCAACTTCACTACTTAACTACTTTAGCCATGTTTTGCACATGTTGTCTTAACATGTAATAGTGAGCCAAAGCAAACCTGTGCAATATTCTCGAAGCATTTACGCAGGTGTGGCTGAACTGCAGTGGGATCTTTGGTTTGGGACAGAATCTCCAGGAGCTCATCATCTGACAGGAAGTAAAACCTACAAGCAAATATTTAGGGTGCATCAAACACAGTTACTTTGTTACCTACACTCAAAATCTTTATAACAGGAAACAGGAAAAGGCAGTTTTGAGGGGTTTCCTCACTGTTTGGGATGTGGAAAAAGGTGATTTACAAAAGCTCTTCACGTAAAATTTAAAAAAATAAACAATTAATTAAAAAATATATATATTTTTAACGCTGATCCATTTTGTCTGTGTCTTACCTGGGGAATAAACTTCGTTTTGTTTCCAAGTACTCACTGAGACCCTTCTGCACCTGTTCCAAAAGTCCGTTACAATTCTTAAGTTGCGTTAGTAGATGAGCATCTGGAAACAGCTCGATCACCTAGAAACATTCACAAAAACAATCATATATAGTCCACAGCAACTAGTGAACCACCAGTATTCTCTAGTTCCACACAGAACTCTAAGCCTCTCTCTGACCTTTCGATTATTAAAGGCACTTTTCATAATACTCCTCCAATTTTGCTCCATTTGCTGGTATCTTTTTCCTTCTGTAGGCAGCTGCTGATTGATGTCATCAGAACTGAATATGGGTTCTAGGTACAGCCACGAACGCTGGCACATCAGCCACTCCTCCAGTACATCCTGTATTCACCAAAAGAGGGCAGCAGCACAACATGAGAAACACAAATCACAAGACTTCCACAGCTGATAGGTGTCTATGTTGTGCACCTGAGTCATTCTGAGCTTGCTCTCCCAGGAGCTGATTCGTGCCTCAAATGTTTTTTTGAAGGGTGACAAGGACATGCTCTGTGTCATGACAATGTGGTCATCGAGCAACTGAGACACTTCATCTGGGCTCGTTAAAATGTAAGTTCCTGTGTTCTTGTAGGGCAAAACATCAATGACTACTGTGGACCACTCTTTTTCCATCTTATCCAGGGCCTGGGTGAAAAGGTATGGGAGAAAAGAGGAAGCAGCATCGGTTTTAGCTAAAAACAAATCACACACTGACAGTGTACATAGCCAAAATGAGTAGAGTCCCTAGTGCTTTAAAACAGCAGAAGCATCCCATTCTAAACTACATTTTGCAGATGATAAAAATTTTTTTTACAAACACTATATGAAACAGTTTAAACAAAGATTCTTGTTCAGCAGCACCTGTTCAATAGAGTATTCTTTCCCAGCCACCTCGGCCACTTGAGCTATGTCATCCACGTACTTCTGTAGGCCAAGCTCCAGGCAGTGAGACAAGGTCAAGTTGGCTTTAGGCATGACTTTAATTTGAGTGCGTTCTGAAAGCATCTGCCAGTGGCGGCTCTTCATCCCTGGGTTCCTTAGTCCCTGAATTAGAGGGACGTAAGGACGGAAGTCCTCAATCTTGCTGAGAATTAGATTTGCCACCATTTGGCAGTCTAGAGTTGTGTAAGACACCAAGAAAAGCCCATTAAAAAACAACAATGTCAGTCATATTTTGAAATGGAAGGCACAGCTTTGTGAAGTTTAAATGGTAATACACGTATCACCTACCAGGAATGTCGTTGAACTGTTTAATACATTTGTGGATGGTCTTGTAGGCTTCAGTGACAATGTGCTCAACCTGCTCAGGATCAATGGAAGACAGTGGGTCACAGAACCAGCTTTCACTCCAGCTTAGCCAATCAGAGGTGGTGGTCCATAAATCTCTATAAGGCTGGAAGTCTTTTACAAGCTTCTGCACACGGTCATACTGTAATAAACATTAATGGCCATAATAAATAGATACTCTTTAGTTTTTGAATTAATCACACAAAAATCCTTTAACCCGAGCCACTGTTTTACTTACATTTGTGACTGTCATGCCGAACAAGCGTTCCCTGTTGTTGTAAGTTTGGGCCATAGTTTGGCACTCCTTAAGTTGCTTGCTGCTCTGCCTGACCTTGTTGGCCATCTCATGGGCATGATCAATGCCTCCATGGCTCGCAAACCTAGCAACAATCATCTAGAAACATACAGTGACTACTTTAGAACCATGCAACATCATGTTTAATTAGAAGCTCTGTCATATAGTGGACACATGCGCTGCTCTAAGTGTCTGCTTAATAAAGCAAAAAACAATTCAAATCAGTTTTATCTACATAGCACCAATTCACAACAAGAGTTGCTCCAGGGCACTTTATTTTGTAAGGTAAAGACCCTACAAAAATACAGACAAAACTCCAACAAACAGATGACCCCCTTTGAAGACGCTCTTGGTGACATTTGGTATAAAAAACTCAGTTTTAACAGGAAGAAACCTCCATCTAAGAGTCTGTGAAGGTTCTCAGTCATCCAGGTCATCGTAGTCTAAGGAGCTTGGAAAGAAAAGCTAAAAGTATAAAATATAGTCGATTGAGTCGACCTGTAGATTAGCTAAATGCTCCTCAAAGTTGCTCTGCTCAGTTAGATGGATCTTGCGGAAGCACTCCTCATCCTCCAAGTGCTGGGTGGCTATTGGTTCCATTTGGTTGATTATCTTTTGTGGCCATTCAATGGCTTTCCACCTGCACAGATAAGTCACTATAAATCTCACAAAGTCTCCTACAGGGTATGTAAAACAAATTCCCTTTTAACTAACGATAATCATACACTTACTTTTTGTTGACATCATTGTTGGGAAGAGAGTGGAAAAATTCTTCTATGAGCTCGTAGTCTGACAAGTTCTTGGCAAGACGTTCCTGTTTGCAGATTAGAAAAAGAAGGATGGATTCATAAAGTAATTCTTAATTTAATATGTACTACAGAAACACCCACTTCACCCATTCGACCTTGTAACTCTTAAGCTGTTCTGGGATTTGTTTCATCCACTGCCTCTTTTCACTCAGTTCCTCGATGCCAAAGGGTTTCTCACGTAGCTTTCTGTTAATAATTTCACATTCTTCACATGCCTACACATAAAAAAATAACCAAAAATTAAGAGAAAAACAAGAAAAATGTCATTTCAAGCTTAATTTAAGGATGTCTTTAAAAATAAATAAAAATAAATAAATGACTAAATGAATAGCAATTAAAGTTATTATTATTCATGTTCTCAATAGAAGAAAATATTTAGCCTTACCTGGTCAACCTGAATACGTAGCTTCAGAGCAAGGTGGTCTAGTAGTGCCGTGGCTAACGCCTTTCTCTTTTCTGAGAGAGACTTGCGTACCCCGTTAACACAAACATGAAATGGACCAATCACTAGGGAGGATGGCAAGGACTGTTCAATTATTCTCTTTTCTTTGAGATGCTGCTGCACCTCTTTTTTCAGTTCTTGGGATGTCATTTCTGCATCACAAGATCTGGTAGCCAAATGATGGGGACATGAGAGAAACAGAGAAGAAAAGCACGAGTTCATTCAGTAATAGGCCACATATCCAACAGACCCACATCTCACACTTGTGAAAAGTGGGCACGTCACTTCAAACACAGACTTACGTGAGAATGTAAGCTTGTATGTCCAGATTGTGCAGCTCTAAGTACTTCTCATACTCAGCAGCATAAGCCCTGAGAGGTATGGTTGCTTGTGTTAGAACATTACGGATCTTCTCCCTCAGCTCGGTTATTTGTGGTTCCTCCAAACGCACTGACTCAAGTAAAGGCTCCCCAACCATAAATAACTTCTGCAACACAAACTGGTACAGGCACATGCAAAACTATTCAAATATCAGTGTCACTTTCAAAATTCATCATTATAAGAGTATATACCCCCATTTCTTTGCATTTTACTTCCAAGGAGCCAGACCTTCTTCTGATTTTCCAAAGTAGTCTTGAGCAATAGTTATCCAGGCTTTCTGAAGGTCTTTCAAAGTTCTTTGGACACTGGCTGCTTTTTTTTTATTTATTTTTTTTTTTTATTTTACAAATTTTAGGGTTAGTACTTATTTTCAGAGAACAATTCAAACATAAAAATGGTGCCTAACTCAAAGGCTGCAAAGGTCCACTTTTAAATTGTATCTTTAGGCATTTATTGTCACAAGTCAAATCAATGAAAAGTTGGACAAAAGAAAAAACGGTAGGCTTAAAACTCTATCTACAGCAGATAAACAGTATCTGAAAGTCACGTAATGTAGAAATAGGTAAAAATACAACAAAGATCTGACACAGGACCTGAGAAATATATCTGGCTCTTGAGTTAATCCATCTAGCTTCATCAGAAATGGTCTAAGTTGAAGGGTGGCTGTCAAGTAACCAACCTTATGGAAGGGAAACAGGGAGAAAAGGCTGAGGCATGCTGAATTATAAAAGAACTGGACTGAAAATCAGTGACAATAGGTTATATGGAGTGAGTGTCCATCTGTAAGACACAGTGGAGACTCTGTCATGAAACGAAAGACAGCTCACATCCAAGGAGCTTTGAATGTCCTTGAAGAAGCCTGGAAAACTAATCCTGAACACTACACTTTCTTAGAATGCTTTTCTAAGAGAGTGCAGACTGTGCAGGAGAATCAAGGTGGTCATAGTAAATACTAATCTTCGAGCTCCTTAGAACTACACAAATTCTCTGTTTTTGTCTTATATACTTTAATTCCATCTATGCTTGAATGTTTCCGTCCCATTTTTCCTAATAAAATTTGACAAAAAGAGAGAATACTTAAACCTTTTTTTCAAAGTACTATATTTTGAAGCCTCATTGCATTCTCATTTGTAAAGTATGCTGTATTACTCAGGAGATTTGATTTACCCTATTAAGCAGAGGCACACTACGTGTGCACATAATGCTGTTATCAAACAGGTTCACTGTAGATGCTGAAAAATTCTCCAAGGGGGTGCTGTAATGAACCCCACTTTCATCCAGAACCAGGTCCACCAGGAAAATAGGATTCTTCTTTGGCCTAGACATGGATAATTGTTATATTACAGACATAAATAATAATTATTTTAATCAGTTATATTTCATTCATTATTACAAAGTCCAAAAAATGGGAAAAGGAAAAGAGAAAGTTGTGCAAATGCATTTTATCGTACTTGTAGTGGCTAGTGATTAGGTCATTCCCCCAGACGAAGTCCTGAGGACACATCAGGACATTGTGGCAGGCATCCATCACGACCTTGGTCAGGCTGACCAGTGAGTTCTTCACAAGGACGCGGAGGGAGTCCTGCATGTTGTAATGCACCAGATTGAGGAGTTTAGACAGCTTAGAAACCTTGTAAGTCTCCCAGCAAGTCTCGTTTATGTTGTATGTTCCCTTGCCCATATTCGCAAGGTTGTACCGAATGCTGTTGGACAGTGTGCTGGTCCAGTTATCTCTAAGAAACAGGGTTATCTGGATAAGGAAAAAGAGGTTAGATTAAGATATTTATATTGGTAAGCCTGTAGTAACAAAATGAATAATCTCCTATATGCTTATTAAATAACTACAGACGCTATCTTGTTTATATGGCTAAGATGTATGTTTTTGTTTGACTGTTCTTCAAGTCAGAACAAAAAAGGGATATGAAGACATTTAGCCAGATTTGCCGGAGCAAACTCATTTTCTGGTGTAAAAACAAAGTACTGTTGAAATTTGAAAAGATCACGCAGTGGCAAAATTGCATGTTAGAGGTGAAAAGTCTGAGATTATTGTGACTAACTCTGTTGCATATGGATGTCTGGGAGTTTTTTTCTTAAGGCGCAAAACACAGAGAATATCTAAATCAAGTATGCAAACAGATTTACTAACACTCGCAACTCACTATTTATTGCTATTTGTGCCAATATTTAACATTGAATTTGAAACTTTTTTGCACTTGATAGTGAATTGAATTGTCTGTGCTTTGCAAACAGCACAACTTTTGTAAATTACCCATAAAAATGACCACAACTATCAGCACTATTTGGGGATTGCACTCACAGGCTAATTTGCCCTATTTAGTAACCCCGGCCGGTAAACACAGGTTTTTACTTGATACTCTCTCGGTGCAACAGTACCTGAGTATGCGTCTGAGACTGGTCAAGTTCAAATTGATGCAATGGAAGTGGTTTACCCAACATCAAGTTGAACAGCCTCATGTTTTCTACTTTTTTGCACTCATGCCACATTTCAGAAAGCACACAGATCAGCTCTGGCCTAGTTTGCATGGACTTGAAAATAAATGCAGCTCGATTCGCCTCATAGGCAGAGTAAGGAACCGGAACACACCCTGCATAGATAAAACACAACAGTGTTTTGATTCTGAAGGTGTTAGCAGATGCTACATTTCCTTAATTATGACCTGAGTGACCAGGAAGTGCATAATGCTAAATATCTTACCTTGTGAGGGCACATATTCAGGGTCCTTCTGTGGCAGGGTGATATGTGAAAGGTCTTCAGGGCAGCTCATCACTACTTTGTCAAAAATCAAGCGGTTCATTGTACGGTCATAATCCAGTCTGACCTCCTTCTCCAAGCTTGCAACACATGTCTCTAAACTGCACACACAATATTGCATTTATCCATCCTGTTAGTTAGTAAAAAAGCAGATCATACAGAATTAATAAGACAGGATATCACTCACTTTTTCAGCTTAAGGCCAGGAGCTGAGAGGCCACGTCGTTTGATTCTCTGGAGACTATCAGTATTGAGAGACGGTGTTTTCCTACAGATGGGCATGCAGTCCACTGAAAAGTGGTAGAAAATAAGTGCCTCTGTTTCCTCTCTGTAGCGCAAGGCAAACTGGACCCGCTCAACAAAGACACGTGGGTCTTCAGCACAGAATAACAGTCTGATCCTGGGTATCCAGTACTTACTGCCTGCTATTAAAGAGTCTGTTTCTATGCAGAAAGAGGGCGACAGATCAATGACATGGTCAGTAACAGCAGAGAGAGATGAAGAGACAACACTCTAGAGTTATAACAGTTTAAAGACATTAAAAACAACCAGGGGATTTACTCTGCTTATGCTCTTCATTTATATCAGGACTTCCTTTTTTGTCTGTGTGGTGGACCTTCTCTACCAGATACTGACATTTCTCCGTACAGTAATCAAGAATTCCAACTAAATGCCAGCTGTACTTCGGAGGTGGGCTTGCGCTTGCAGACTCATCTGCAAAAGAACAGAAAAGAGGGATTTAATAACACATTACTACATTTATCTATAAATTCACTGGTGTCTGTGTTGTATTGTTGTATGGCCACTTATAAATTGCTTCTCATTACCTTTTAATGAATATCTTAAATTAATCCCAAAAAAGGATTAAAAGGAAGAAAAAGTGCCAAAGAACTTGAGCACCACACATTGTTGAAATGCAGTTTACAGATAAACTATATCCTATGTATCATTTGTAACAAACTAAACACCCTTTTAAAAAATGGCTGAAGATTCATTGATTCACTGATTTTAAATTGACCTTTGCCTACATAGATCTACAGACATTAGGAGGCCAAGCTCCAACTCCAATACAGCAGCTACATGTACATATCTATGATACTTTACCATTTGTAATTTCATCATCTGTAGGTAGCAGGGCTTTTCCAGGAATAGGTTTTCGATCAGGTGATCCTTCAGCATTGCCCAAAGCAAGCCAGTCTTCTGGAGTCCGGCAGTCATATTCTTCATTATCAAACAGCTTAATAAAAAACATGGGAAAGTTTGGTGTATATAACATTATATATACATATGGAAAGTATTGCAATGAGGGAAAAAAAAGTCTAAAAAGAGGGACTTGATTGGACAGTTGTGTAACAGGCTCACCTCCAGTGGGAGGAACAGCGAAATAGGACCGTCTGGTATGGTGTTATTTTTCAATGGTCTTGGCAATAAGAGATCAGAATCTATGCCCTTTTCTGCCAGGAGCTCTTCAACATGTAAATGTAAGTATTCCCTTCGACATCTGTTAGCAACACAGTATATAAAGACGCAGTTATTTCACAGCAGTACTTTGAGATAAAACAACTTAATGACTCTACTAAAAGCTGCTGTACAATAAAGGAAAAATGAGCATGTATTGCACACTATATGAGACGTGACCACTGAATCTGATCTTACAGTATTCAAAATAACCATGACTACAGCAGCAGATGCCATGTGTAGTACACAAAAATAGTACACACCTCTCTATCGCTAATTTGCGGGGAATGGAGCCAGGACGGGTTTTGTAGGGTATTTGGACTTTGGGTTTTTCTCCACCCCGGCAAAAGTATGGATTCTCCGAGAAGAATGAATTATGTTGTACATGTGGTACAAGGCAATCCTCAGCAGCCCATCTGGGTCGATGAGGTGGAGTCTTGGCGACTGCTTTTGAAGTAAACAGAAGTCATATTTTACAGATAGCACAAAATGTTTTGGGATTTTTTTTCTAGGAGATTTAAAAAAAAAAAAATCAATGCAACAATAAAATATCAGATGTCTAAAATGCCATACAGTACTCACCCTCCCGTGAGTTATGACCAAATGTCACCATGGACTGAGGCTCTGACACCTGCTGGGCATTAGATGTACAAGCCGCAAACACATAAGCAATTACTCAAGAGTTTCTCATTAGAGCAACAACAATCAGTCATTTTAGAGGAATCAGAGAAGC